GTTAACCAGGATCAACATTTCAGTTATAATTAAATATAAGTTATATCCTTTCAAAAGATATAAATAATAAGGTGTATTAATTAGATAAAACAATATTTTGAAAATATCTTATAAGATGAATATGTTAAAAGTATTTTTATATCAAAACTTAATATCGTTTTTATTTAATTTATGCAAATATTCGAAACAGAAATAATATTAAATAGAAAAAAAGTGATTAAAATTTATTTAGAGGCTGTTTGAGAGTGTGACAGATTATTCAAATAAAAAGTAAAAGTTTTAAGTAGAAGCGGAAAGCAAATATTTCTAACTTTACTTAAAAGCACTTCTGGAGCCTATTTAGACGGGAGACGTCATAATCTATAAGCACAATCAAATTTGCAAACACAAAAAAATATTTTAATGAAGCAAAAGTTCATAAACAATTACTCCCTCCGTCCCATAAAGGGTCTGTTTGGGAATAGCGTTAGCGTTTTGAAAAGGCTATCTACGGACAGCGTTTAGCGTTAACGTTTTCAAAGTAATCTGCACCGTTAAAATTTTATCCAAAACGCTAACGCTATTTCCAAACAAGCCCAAAGTGTTACCCATTTTGACTAAAGTTGAAATTAAGGGAGAGATAATTTTGTGTTGACTTTTCAAAAATACTCTTGATGTGATGGGTAAAAATAGGATGTGATGTGTAGATTATTAGGAAAAAGGTATGATGTAATAGGTAGGATTTGAAAAAGTAAGGGGTAAAAGTGGTTTTTTAATAGAAATGGATAAGGGATTGTGGGAAACAATTTTTTTGAAATGTGTAAATCTTTTTTGGGACGGAGGGAGTATATTTTTTATTAAATGCAATCCCAAACACTCTCCTAGAAGAGATGGAATAGCTCTCAAGCACATGTTTCATTCCTTAACAGGAAAGATGAGAAGTTCCCATAAATGAATGTATCTTGGGATGACGAAAAACAGAAACATTAAACATACGAAGGAAATAAGTCCGAATATAACTTAGAACAATATACTTTCAACATGATCATTGATCAGTAAAATAAAAAACTACAAACACGAGGCTAAATAAAACTAGCATTATTTAGATCAATAATGAACATGGCATCAAAAAAAGTGATGAGAATATATTGTCTGTACCTCTGAGGGCATAATATTGTTCGTCATAAATAAATAAATATATATAAGGAAATTCTCTAAATACAGAGCATATAATTCATGAATGAACTTGGTTAGTTTTCGAGTTGAAGGAAAAAAATTTATGTGTACGTAATTACCTTATTGCCCTAGACAAACTCTTAGATGCATTTACTAAGAATCATGGTCATTCACCAAAAATAGCATAAGAATAAGCATTTAGGAATTAGGAGTACACAAATTTGTGAAATTTTATAAGTAAATTTGATTTTTTAGTAAGGGCATGGATATTTTAACATTGGTTATTCATTATTGATCTCGTTTGGCATCAGCTTAAATGTTACCGTTAATAATTTGAAAAGATTATCCAACAGTAGTCTTTAATGTTTTCAAAATTAACCTACGCTATAAAAATTTTATCAAAACGTTGACGCTAATAGAAAAACGTTAATCCCAAACAAGACCATTATATCAATGTCATAATATGACATGAGCGCCTACATGCATGTTTCGTTCACCTACATGCCAATTATTGCATACTCCATTTATGATGTTTTGCATCGTAAATTACATGATGTATTAACCAATTAACCTTCTTCGGCCTCAATACATAACATTCTCGCAAAGATACCCAAACTCAAACTATTCAATCTATATCACATTCCTGAAACTAAAGTACTCTGTAGTTTTTATTACTCCGTATAAGAAATAGTTAGGGTTACCGCTTCTTCAATCTTCATCCTCTTTAAACGCAGAACTCCGTTTCTTGCCCTCCAAATCTTGTATATTCAGGCTGCCCATCCACACAGCAAGCCATGCCTTCCTTCTTTTGGTTCCCTTTATCTTTTGAATTACATTCACCACTTCAAACTTCAAAGAGTTATCTTGAATTTGCACATGAAATGCCAAAAAAAGATATTTGTCCACTTTGAGTTTCTTTACCACAAAGCTCACAAGTAGTATTATTGGCTAGGAATCTGCTAATATAAGCATGTGCTTTGTTTGTAACCTCCCTTGCCATATATAGAAGCCAACAAATGGTTTTGTGTACTTGTTCCACACCCAATCACACCATTTGTTTTGTGTACTTGTCCCACACCAAAAAAACAAACAAAAAGAAGCCTGTCATAGAAGTTTAACAATCTCTTCTCGTATCACCAAATAGTTTACGTAATACCTCTGTACCAATTGTAAAGGCAATTCACCATTGGTCCCTCAACTTTATGAGTTGTGCACGATTGATCCTTCAAGTTTCAAAAGTTCATGAATAGTCCTTCAATTTTATGAATTATGCACGATTAGTTTTTCAAGTTTTAAAAGTCTATAAATAGTTCTTCAAGTACACGCCAGCCCTTCAGATGAGATCTTTTTGACACTAAATATTTAGTGGAATACTATTTCCATATAATACGAGTAAATTCCACTAGGTACGACTACTCCGTATTATTCGGAGCTAGTACTCTGTTTAACTTTTAACGTTTACCGTCAAAAGGATATCATCTGGAGGGCTGACACGTACTTGGAGGACTACTTATGCACTTTTGAAACTTGAAGGACCAATCGTGCAGAACTCATAAAGTTGAAAGACTATTTATGGACTTTTGGAACTTGAAGACATAATCATGCGCAACTCATAAAGTTGAAGGATCAATAGTGAAGTTTAGCCAATTCTAAATTAGTCATCCTTAATTGGAAGAAAAAATTAAACCAATCATCATTAAATAAACAAAAACACAATGTAATAAACCATTCCATCTCTTTCCCACTTGTGAATCACATTGATTATAGCAGTTGAGATTCTTATTCTACTATTTCTAGCTAGTGGATCACAAACAGTCCTACCTTAAATAGGACTACTTTTTATAAATTAAAAGTAAATTAACGTTATCATATCACTTTTATAGTACATGAGACCCAAAATTATTTGGACGCTCTCCTTAACTCTCTCATCTAAACCTAATACTCTCCTAATTCTAAAATCGATAAAATAATATTTTTTCCGTTCTAGAAATGGCTCTTTGATTGACTTGTCACAAAATTTAAATAAAATAAAAAATGTAAGATTCAAAGTGATGCAGAGGATAGAGAAAAATTACAAGTCGCCACTTAAAATTTTCTAAACAAGAAAAGAGGAGAATTTTTTTAGACGCCACAAAAAGAAAATAAAAAGTCTTTTTTTGGGACGAAAGAAGATTCTTTATGTAATTTCTTACGGAATATCTTCTAAAAAAATTGATGTACTCGATCCGTATATAACTTTTTAATACGGAGTATAAAATTCTTATTCTTTAATTCTATATTAAATTTTAAATAAGTTGAGTTGAAAATGACTTTCGTCATAGATCGTAAACCAACTTGGGAGTTGGGGAGCTTTTGCCAAATACATATATGCTGCCTCCGTCCCAAATTAGTTATTCAATTTCTTGATCTTTTTGCAACTCTGTCAAGTCAAACATGAAATATAATTATGGAAGGGAGATAGTTTTTTTTTTTAATCCAAGAGTGATGCTTCTGAGTGAGCAAAATAAGTCCCTAACTAAATTTATCATTTTCTTCATCAGATCGATCCTCAAAAAAAAAAAAAACATAAACAAGTCACATAACGCACGCAATTGATACACGAGAGGACACTGGAAATAATAATAAGTGCAATATAAGGACACCAGAAATAATGCAATATACATATCAAAGTTTAATGGCTATAGCCTTTCGTTTGTTGGGTCTCATGGCTTGTCCTTCCCACGTTTCGTCTCTTTCTAACCCAACTTTGGGTCGTGAATGGGTCCAAATGTCTCCATATATATATATATTTCCTATTTCTGTAAAAGACGTTCTTGTTTTATTTAAAATACTTTTATCTCATGTGAAATGTCAAAAATACTCCTAAAACAATTTCTAACAACAATCGAGGAATGAGGTGAATTTTAGACATTTTTTAAAAACGGATGGAATATATGGGTGGCCGCTACATTTAATTTTAGGTAGTGTTTGGCAACTAACATTTCATTTCAATTCATGCATTTCAATTCCAAAAATTTAAATCTTGAATTTCAAATGACAAAGAGAGGTGCATGAATTTCAAATTAAGCTTTCTTATGAATGAGAAGAATTTGACTCAAATCTAAATTCAAAATTTTTAAGTTTCCCAAACATAGAATTTGAGTCAAATTCGGATTTGAAATCCAAATCCATGTTCCCAAACATACCATTAAGGAAAAAGACTAAGTAGGAGTAAAATATTGAAAGAGCAATGCTAGGGGTACACCTTTGGTGTACCCTATTTGTCCAACACCCTTTTCTCCACCACTCAATTTGATTTTATTTTTATTTATTTATTTATTTTAGTCTTTTGCCTTTTTATTTTTATTTTTAGCATTTTTCATATTGAAAATATACCAAAATAAAACTTCTATGTTTTTATTCCCGAAATACTAGGAGTTAAAAAGCATTTACATTACCAAACATTGTCATGTACATTACCAAAAAGTATTGCAATGTGCACATGTACAGTGTCACATTACAACTAAATTATCACGGTGTGAAGTCCTATTTCGGGAATAAAAACATAAAACTCCTATTTTGATACTTTTTTCAATGTTTTAGTCCTATTTAAAGTTATTTATATTAATTTTATGTTTTCGTTTTTTGATCTAATGTAAATTTATTTTAAAAAAAAAGAATTACCACTTTTGGTCCGGCTTGACACCTTTTGCCAGAATGTGTCACACATGGTTTGATTTTTGAATTACAATTTCGTCTTTTCCTCGTCTCTCTCTAAACTTTCTATTCACTTACAAGTTGCATGTGTAGGTAATATGAATACGAGTTCGTATACCGTACATCCGGCTATACCTAAAATTAGGTACAGCCGGCCCACTTAACCGTTAAAATGCAAAAGCCCATTACGGACCAGGCCCAAGTACGCAAATTATACCCGGCGATTTCCACATCATCCCCCACCTTCGAAATTCAAATTCATTTTCTCGAATCGAAGCGTTTCCTGCACAAAATCACTGCGCTCGAAGCTAGTCTGCGGCACAACATCACTTCGCTCGGAGGAAGATGAGCATGCAGAAGAAAAAAGCTTCTTCTTCGTTGAGGTATGCAATTTTTACTTCTATTATTGTTAAATGTTCTCTCTAAAATCCGAATTTATCAAATCTTAATCGCAAAGATGTCAAACCCTAATTGGAACATTTTTAAAGCAAAATCGTGTTGAGCTCTCCAAAGCAATTTCATCTACCATTATACTAATTCTCGCATTGAAGTGTAAGCTACCAAACTCGTACGTACTTATACTCATTCTCATATAAAATGGTACTCGTTTGTAATCTGGAGAGTTGTTAAGTTCATTCTCGTAAGGGCCATAGAAAATGTCACATAACATGTCCATTCAAGTAACTGATTTAATTATTTACATTCTAGTATGTGTCATAATACATTGGCATGTATACTGGTACTCATTTTTATGGGTCCAGTACTTCTGCTTATGATAGATAGTAAAGTTCATCCATATAGGGGTTGTAATATAATCATTGTCCTGTTTGGTAGAACACATTATGATTTATAATCATACTCATTTATACTCTCTGTAATTTCGTGTGCTTTTGATTCAAGTAATGGATTGAATTATGTCCATTCTTGTATGTGTTATCAGTGATTCTAATCTGTAATGGTCCTCATTTTTAGTCCACACAATAGGTGCATGTTATGTTTGTTATAGTAAAGCTCATTCATATTGGGATTTGTAATATGATCATTCTAATGTGTTGCAGTGTACATTATGACTTATTCTGGTACTCAATTATACTCTAAATACTGAATATGGTCAGTCTCATTCTGTATAGACAACTTAAAGCCCAATGTTATTATTTTTGTGTGTGGTAGGAATATGATCATTCTCATAACTTCTGGTATTCATTCTGTTACAGAATAGTACTCAGTTATTGAACTATGTAGCTAAAAATCTTATTGAAATGTGCTTGAAAATTATGCAGTAAAAAAGCCATCACGGAAATCCCTTTACTACGTGAAGAACAAAGCATTTTTACTAAAGTAAATCTGAGGAAAAGGAAAGGGACTGAGAAGGAACCAATGTTTGGGAGAAAAATGCAACTGAGAAAGAGAAAGAAAGGGATACCGGGAGAAAATGCTGAGCAGGAAAAGAATCAAGCTCAAGAAGATCTAATTTCACAAGAAGATGAAATGCCGAGCATTGAAAAGATTGACCAATTAAACGGTGACAAGTTTTTGGTAGCAGAAGTTGAGCTCGAAGGAAACACTGAGCAAAGGACTTCGAGAGATGAGCTAAACACTGACAAAGAATTTGGTGAAGATGAAGTAAACACTGAACAAGAGTGTAGTGAAGAGGAAGAATCTGCTAGGAAGAAGAAAAGTGCAACAGTGGAAGGAAAAGGTAAGATGCAATACAAAGAGAGAGAGAAAAATAAACAAAGAAAGAGAAAGAAGCGGGTGCTGGGAGAAGAAGGAGAACTGAATAAGATTGGTGTGAAGTCCATAAAGACAAGGATGTCACCGAAAACAATAACTGAACTGTTAAAAAATCTGAGTGAAGAACAAAAATAGGATGTTAGGGAAATGGGGTTTGGTAGGTTGTTACAGTTGGATATCACGCATCTTCCTCTCCAGTTAGGTTACTGGCTGGTGGAAAATTTTGATACCAGAAGTGTTTCGCTGAAGTTGCCAAGTAAGAAAGAGATTCACATTGATGAGACTTCTATTCATAGCACCATCGGATTCCCAATGGGAGGAGAAAGTGTGATGAAACAGAATAGAGAGAAATCTGAAGAAGCAAGAGAAGTGATGAGAGCTTGGAAGTTACAATTTCCAGTTCAGAAAGGGACAGTTAGAATAGCAGATGTGAGAAAAAGTGTTGAAGAGAATAAGGGAGGAGGAGAAATGTTCAAAAGGAATTTAATGGTATTGATTGTCAGTTTTCTAATTGAAGGGAAGCAGAATTGTTCAGCAGCACATAAAATTGTGAATGCTTTGGTAAATGTGTCTGAAATAAAAAACCTTAACTGGTGTTCATATACCTTGGAGAGTTTGATAGAGGCAACAGATTATTGGAAAGCCAACAAAAGCAGATTCTTTGGAGGGCCATTGCTGTTTTTAGTTGTAAGTTCTAAATTTTATATTTGTTTTCTGAAATTTTATATATTTTGTGTGTTGTATTAACACATTTATTTGATGAAATGATGATCAGGTTTTCTATGTTGACAATGTCATTTTCAAAAGCAGAAGAGTTCAAAGGCAGTTCCCCTCTTTCGTTGGGTGGAATGCAAGACTACTGTGGGAACGAGAAAGGGCTGAAAAAAAGAGCGGAGGATTTGGTTACGGGTACATCGATGTGCCCAATGTTGAAAAGATTGAACTGACAAGTCCAAATCTCAACAAAGAAAGTCAGACAAACCAAAGTGATGGTGGAAATCAAGATGAATTACATGTTCAGAAAGAAAAAATGGTAAGGTTATAGTACTATTCATTTCCTCAAAAATACTAATATGTGACCATGTTTAAAATGCTGTATAATGCAATTCATTGCAGGATGTTATAAAAGCATTTGCTTCAGCCACAAAGAATTTGGCAGAAGCAATATCGACATTTGATGAGAAGCTTCGAGCAGCTGTTCAAGTGTTGCCAGATGATGAAGCAATGAAAATGCTGGTAGAGAGGGTTTATAATCTGGTAGATGGTTATTCAAAAGAGAATGTGCAAGAAGAAGAGAAAGAAAGCACAAGAGAAGGAGAAAAAGAATGGACTTTTAGTCAAGATGATGAATATTGGAGAAGTGAAGAAGTGATGAAGGCTATCGATGCTATAGAAAAAAACACAAAAAAGGCGACAAGAGAGAGCACAGTATGATGGGCCAACCTTTAGGCTACTTTCACAAGAAAGCCAAGAGAGACGTGATAATGAGATGGTTCATGATTGGGGGGTGGCAGATGATGATGTGGGAGGTGTGACAGAACATGCAGAAAAAGAGAGGGATTGGGTGGCAGCAGACGTGGGAGGTGTGATAGAAGAAAATGTGGGAGATGGGGGACAAGTGACAGAAGCTATGGAAGCTGTGGGAGATGTAGAACATGCAACAGAACCTACACACAGAGAATGGAGAGTTGAATGCAGATGTTAGAGGTGGGGGAGATGTGGCAGATGTGGCCAATGTGAAAAAAGTTCCAAGTGAAAACCGGATTCTTGACATGGCAGTGGAGAAAAACAATAGAGAAGTTGAGCAGAATAAAAAAGGCAATCAAGACGAATGTCCAGAAAGAATTGCAGAACGACAAAAGGGTAGAAAGAGAGATGTTGCACTTTCAGCTGCACTAAGGTCGCCATTCATGAATAGAATTGTAGACATAAGGTCTACCTTGACAATTGAAGAGAGAATGGTGGAAGCGTTCACATTTTCAGCAGACAGTGATGAGTAAGTTATTTCAATTAATTATGTAGCACTCATTCTGGTATTTTTTGGTGATGAATTTGAATTCATTCTTGATGACATGGAATACTTATGATTTCTTATTTGTATCAGTAATGTGCTATACAAGGAAGGTGATAGAGCAATCAAGAAAGGGCACTTCCAAAGCTTGAAACTGAACTCAGCAGTTTCTTTTGAAATCATAGATTTGTGGACTGATATTCTTAACCACAAAGAGAAGTTCAAAAGCAATGACTCATCAGCCAGAGTGTTCTTCCCAACGAAAATTTGTGTATGTTAAAATAAAATCACAAGCAGTAGAGTAGTTTTCCTTAATAAATATAATAACTTTTTAAGTTCAAATTTGCAGGATGTGTTGGATTACAATGTTGGAAGTTCAGCAACAACACGAAACAAAAACTTTGTGGAGAGTATGGAGAAAATAAGTCCAATGTCAATAAACAGGGTGAGGAGTACAGATATGTTTTTCTTCCCGGCAAAGCTGACAGACCATGTCTACTTAATGTGTTTTGACTTGAGAAATATGAAGTTTCTCATAATTGACAGTAAAGAGACTACAGTTGCAATAGGTGTAAGATATATATTCCATCCAAACCACTTGGTAAGATTTGTTTAAGAAATGCTCCATTAAAGAATTTTCTTTAAACATTATTTAAATAACATTACTTCATATTTTTTTTATATGTCCATTGTAGAGAAGTGCCTTTGTAAAGTGGCTTAAGGAAAAAAAAGATCCAAGAGCAATGGAAGTACAGAAGCTGAAACCAGAGCGCTTAGATGTGGGATTGAATGTAATCAAAAGTCGTACAGACTCAGGAGTGTTTGTTATGAGATTCATGGAGACATATAAAGGGGAAGCAGAATGGGATTGTGGGCTTGAATCCATAAATGTAAGTACTGGTAGATTTCTTGGTAACACAAATATTACTCTATACATGAAAATTTTAAAAATGAATGGTTTAAAATTGGGAATATTGTAGGAAAAGCTGATGCAAAAGTTGAGGACAAGATACTTGAATGAGATGCTGACATTTGAAAAGAATGAGACGAAGGAGGAAGTGGTGAAGAAAATCAAATCTGGACTAATTGCTCAAAGGGAAATCAAGAAAGCAGCTAAGGGGAAATAGGAGGAAAAAGACTAATGCTGAAACCTGATGCTGAAGCATATGATGAAGACAACTTTTTTGTGTGTGGTTATATTAGTATTATGGATAACTGAATTTTAATTTTGATGATAACTTATGTGGTTATATTAGTGTTATGGTTATATTGCTGTTATTAAAACTGATGTGGTTAGCAGATGTTATGTACTTTTGGGTTTGAGAAATGTATATTACTTCCAGAAAAGGTTATTTTTGTTTGAAATTGAGTCGGGTACGAGGACGTTGCTGAAGGGAAAGTTCATATATATGTATATATATGTTCAGTGTTTTGTGCGCTAGTACTCATTCTAATGTGTCAAGGTACACAATGTGAGTACATAATGTGTCGAATCTGTAAACGACACACGAGAACGAATGTGAATCGCCTAATCTATGGCTATGTGAGTCATACTTCTGACGATTTAGGCAAGGTACGTCTCTTGACACAAACGGCTTTCTTCATGGATGGTTCCTCAAGCTCACACAGTGCCATAGCCGGCGGGCACTGGCAGCTGCAAGTGGATTGGTTTCCTATACTCAATACTATAGCCTGTCGTTGGGACACACCGATGACACGACGCGCGCTTTGTAGTATCTCTCTAGATCGAAACAAAATTCGAATGGGAGGAAAGGATAACGAGTGCGGAGCCCGCCAAGCGGGCATGTGCACCAGGCGGGGCACACTGAAGGAAAAGATATGTATTCGTGTACGAGAGGTTTACATACACTTTTATTCAGTTCTAATGCCATGGCCATGATAAAGTAGGAAAAATATACTAATTTCTCACAATAAAGATTGTTCATTCTTGTATGTGTTGGTACTCATTCGGATATGTCATGGTATTCATTACACAAAACTTACACAGATCTAAAAAAGGCATAAAATTCAGTGCAACATATGAGAGAAGTACCCCAGGTCTGGAGACATTCCCTTCACTGTCAGCATCTTTTATGATGGCAGTGGTTTATATTGTGACATCTAAAGGAATGAATAAATGGCCATGATAAAACATTGCAGAAGAGCTAAAAGACTGAAACACAACCAATGGTTAACATACTGCCCAGTAAAAAATAAAGCACCAGAAACAAAACCAATGCCAACTCATTGCCTATAAACTTTTTCAGAACTCAAAATAACTCCAAAGTGAACATTTCCAATTCATTGCCGATAAACATTTCCACAATACTCCAAAGTCCAAAGTGACTCGAAATAGAAAATAGAGAAAACTGTAATTACTTGCACAACTGTAACTTTCAACATTTAAGGTAAAAAGTGAACAAATCATAATTCATGTATCTAACAATGAAGAACACACCATTGAACTTGGAAGTTCTGCAGAACATGTAGAAGCACTCCGGTGGACAGCTTGTTTTCGGCCTCTAGCTTGATTAGTCTTCTTTTCTCTAACACTTTTCCGCCTAACATTCCTTTCTCCCTTATTCCTCGAACCCTTTGGATTACTGATCTGAACTTCTCTATTATGAGGTCAATCAGTATCAGAAAAATAAATGCTGCCAACATGAGCTTCAACATCGACTTTCAACTTGTTAAATGCTTCCTCACACAAAGCCCTAGCTACTTCATTGGAATGACTCGAAGACAAAACTTTGTGAACTTTCCTTTGCATCTGTAACCGCCAAACAGAAGGTAAAACAGGAAACCTAGAACATGAAGCAGTATGGGATTCTTCAAATGACTTCGCATTACGTGACCAACGTTTCAAAATATAACAACCTGGGATATTTTCAACACAATGAATGTGATAAATTCGCAGGATATGAGAACAAAGAATGCCAGCTTCTTCAAAGTGTTTGCACGTACAACTAGCACCGTAAGTGGAAGTATCATAGAGAACAAAGTATGGAAAAACACTGTCAGTTGGCACACACACCAAATAACGAAGCAAACTGCCATCTGAATGTCTGATCTCATGTTTAAGAGACAAGCTTTTGATAAATTCCTTCTCAAATAACATGTATGCATCAATGGTGTAGACTCTTGAGGCTCGATAGAGTAAACTCACATATGGGATAGCAATCTCTGGAAATCCCTCCCAACATCGTTCATTATCACGCCTCTCATGACTACGCCATTTACTCACAGTTTCATAGAAGAAATGATAAAAATCACATAGAGTAGCAGTTACACTAACTTTCCTAGACAAGGCATGATTGGTTGACTCACTACGTTGGGAAGACAAAATACCAGTAGAGAAGAAATCCTTTGAAAATGCTGGGCACCACTTCTCTCGAAGGTTATAAAGCTTCTTTAACCAATCATTATCCATACACGAATACTCTGTAACCAACCTGGAAAAAAGAATAAAATTTATAAGAAAATGACAATAATATATAATAAAAGAATGTCACTCAAGATACAAAAGACAGTACCAAATGAACATACCTATTCCAGTAATAGTCAAACTTAGGAATGGTATGACAAAGTTTCAGAACATGATCGAAAAGATCCAAAAAACCATCCTGGTTCCTCAAATCCCTTATATGCTTCTTGGAATTTTCAGAAATGTGCCATACACATAGTCGATGTTTGGAATTAGGGAATACTGAAGAAATTGCAGAAGACATTGCAAAAGACTGGTCAGTCATAATAGTCTTAGGATGCAACCCACCCATTGCTTCTAGAAAAGTGTGAAACAACCATTCAAAAGATTCAATTCTTTCATTCAATAAAAACCCACAACCAAACATACAGTTATGAGTGTGGTTGTTAACCCCTACAAATGGCCCACAAATCATTTCATATTTGTTTGTACGATATGTTGTATCATGCACAATCAAGTCACCAAATAAACAATAATCTTCCTTCATCTGCTTGTCCCTCCAAAAAAAACTGACCAATGAACCTTCAAAATCAACCTCAAAGGCAAAGAAAAAATCTTCCTCGTTTCTTTGTCGTTGCCTAAAATACTTAACTAAAGTATTAGCATCTGTACCATCAAAGCACCTTTTAGCGTCTTTTGCCAAATTGTTATAAACATCTCTCAATGCAAAACCAACCGCAGGTGACCCCCCAGCTTCTGTCCTCAAACAACGAAATGCATCAGCAACTTTAACCCCTTATTGTTTTAAAAGATTAAGATATGACAGCTGTTCTTGAGAAATATCTCTATGTGATCTTACATGGTGAACCAATGAAGAAGGGCAAAACGAATGATTGTGTTCCATCAAATGTCTAACTACAACCCAATCACCATTATCCTTCAATTCAAAGTAAACTTTAGCTTGACAACCAGTGCGTCGATCAATTTTGGTGAATTTTTTCCCAACAGCCCCTTTGATCTTTTTTTTACCTTCTTTATTACAACAAAACTCTCTCCCCCTGATACTCAAACCATTCTGACCTTTCCTTAAAGTTGAATAACGAATACCAAAACCAATCCTAAATGCATATTCATTATAAAAATCAAATGCCTCTTTCTCTGAATTTACTTTTTTGCCAATTAATTCTGATGTTTCTGCCTCTTGAACAAGAATGGTAGAATCTATCAAGTCATCATTAGATAACACCAGAGACGTATGTTGAAAATCAGGTACATTGCATCCAGCTATAAAATTAAAAAAGTACCAAATAAGAACAGAGGGAATATGTACAGAGGAAATATGGACAGAATTAATTATTTCCATTGTAGTATATGCCATAACACATTGGCATGTATACTGGTACTCATTTTTAGTAAAGTTCATCCATATGAACAGAGGGAATGCATTTACTAAGTAGAAAATGATATACAAAATTTAGGAAATTTACCAGAAGGGGTTGGGGTTGGGAAGTTTACAATTTCTCCACAACTCTCAATTGCTTCTATTAATTGGCCTTCATATAAACTAAAATCTGAAAAATGAAAGATGTGAATTAAAATTGGAATTGGAAAAAAGTTTCTGCTGGAGATTAAGATTGCTAAATTCGAGTATGAAGAACACTGCAAAATTTAGTTAATTAATGCCCAAAAAATTATCACCTGGAGATTTAGATTGAAGGGCTCTTAGCTCAGAATCAATATCTGGTTCCATGGGGGAGAACAACGAAGAAAGCAGAGAGCAGAAAGCCGCAGCGCAGAAAGAAACGGAAGAGAAGAATGATGAAGAAAGCCGCAGCGCAGAAAGCAGAGAGCAGAAAGCAGAAGAGAAGAAAAGGGAAGAGAAGAACGATGAAGAAAAAGGGAGAGAGAAAAGGGAGATCGGAAAAGGAAAGAAACAGAGTATCTAATGGACGTAAAGTTTGCAAATATTACAAAAATACCTGGCTGTACCTAAAGGTAGGTACAGCTGGATGTACCATATAATTTGCCTATGAATACAGAGAACAACGAATCTTTTAAAAAGAGGAAACTAATTGGATCATTTGGATGGTAGAAAATTATTTCAAATAAAAAAAAAATAAATAAATAAAATTGGAGGGTAGAAATTTGCCACATCATTCACGTAACAAATTACCCCTAATAAAGACCTTGTCTCGAAAGTTCGAATCAAATCAAACTACTGAGCAAGGATATTAGCGGGTCACCCTACACGTACATACAATATATATTTACCAATATGCCCTTAGGCCGAGAGGTGTGCCTAGACGGGAAGGGGAGGGGAAGACGGGAAAGCAACGGGAACACCCCCTCCCCAAGCGGGAATGGGAACGGGAGGGTTCCGGTGTCGTTTTCCCGTTGCTAACGTTCGGATTATTATTATTATTAAAAAGTTAGTCATTGGAAATTTAAAAACATAATTTTTTTTCAAAATTCTCACTATTTAAACCCAAAACTCTATTCATATTTTTCACACTTCTCATTCATTTTTTTTAAAACACAATTTCTCTATTTTTCATATTTTTTAAAACAATTCACGCTAGAATGTGGGTTTCCATCATCTCCGATGTAGCCAAAATTTCACCATTTTTTGGCTTTGGGGTGTGATGGAATAAATCAAAATGGATCTCTAAATTGTCTGCGCTTCTTTAATTAATGAAGTAGCAGTTAGTCAAGCAATGTAACTTTCGACGTTGAGTCGGGGGTCTCTTTGGAAATAGTCTCTCTACTTTCGAGTAGGGGTAAGGTCTGCGTACACACACCCTCCCCAGACCCTACTCTTGTGGGATTTAACTGGGTTGTTGTTGTTGTTTGTTTCTCGCTAGAATGTGGTGAGTGTAGCGTAGCGGGGCCCTAGAGAGAACCCTAACAATCCCATTATTGTAGTGAGGGAAGTTAATTGAGTATGAATGTATGATATAAGCCAATTAAATACTTCCTCTGTCCCATGAAACATGAGAATTTTGCTTTTTAGGAGGGATTTAAGGGGAGTGTATTTTGGTATTGAATTTCCAAAAATGTCCTTTGATGTGATGGGTAAAAGTATGATTTGATGGATAGATTATTAGTAAAAAGGTATGATGTGATAGTTAATGTATGAAAAAGTAATTAAGGAGTAAAAGTGAATTTTTAATAGAAATGAGAAGTGTTTTGTGGGACGGATAAAAAAAGAAAGGAGAAAGGTTTTATGGGACGAGGGAGTATTAAAATTAAATGTGGGTAGACATGGCCAGCCATGCATGCATGATCCATGCACGTCAGGACAGTGACACAACCAAAAATAAAAATTAAAAGTAGAGAGCACAGAAATGGTGGCCTCACATTTATGCCTCATATATCCCACACCATATATAATCTTTCATGATTCTGCTCATATATATGTGCAGATTTCGCCAGCTGCGCCTTTAATTTGCATATATGGAACAATCATAGCACTTCTCGGTGAATATGTTTCTATGTCTCCTTTTCCCACCCAACTTCAACTTGTGTCACAAATTAATTTTTTTCACTCTAATTTTTAAAGAGGCGCAAAAATGAAATTTGCTATTAGAATTTAGGCCGTGTTTGGCATCAGCGTTAAATATTAGCGTTCAAGTTTTGAAAAGACTATCTGACGGTAGCATTTGACGTTAGCATTTTCAGAATTAATCTACACCATTAAAATTTTATCCAAAATGTCAACGCTAATTGAAAATGTTATATTCCCAAACATGACTTTATATACAAAAGATAGAAAAATGTAAACTACTACTCCCTCCCTCCCTTTAAACATGGGATGTTTTGATTTTGAAGAGATTTAAGGGAAGTGTATTTTGAAATTGAATTTCCAAAAATGTCCTTTGATGTGATGGGTAAAAGTAGGATTTGATGGGTAGATTATTAGTACAAAGGTATGATGTGATAGGTAGGGTATGAAAAAGTAAAGGGTAAAAGTGACTTTTTAATAGAAATAAGAAGTGTTTTTTGGGACGGATGAAAAAAGAAAGGTGAAAGGTTTTCAGGGACGGAGGGAGTACTTAATTCTTACTACGCATATAAAAAATATACTCTCCGTCACACAAATTCCTTCTCCTTTCTTATTTTATTTGTCCTACAAAGTCCTTTCCATTTCTTTTAAAAATCCACTTTTGTTGTTAGTAATTCTTATCTTATCTATCACATCATACCTTTTAACTAATAACCTACCTATTATATTCTACTTTTATCAGCCATTACATCAAGAATATTTATACAAAATCAATATAAAAATGTTCCTTCTTTAATTTTTTTAAAAGTCAAAATGAGAATGATACTTGATATTTTATCTCAGTAATAGAAGTGTGATAAATATTTAGGAACAGAGAGAGTATATTTTGTGTCGAATAATTAATAAAATAAGATAGTCTGGTGCAATATTCGGTAGAAATTGGTGCGTCTGGAAGTTTGGGAAACCATCAAACCACAAAGGATAATTCTATGGGGACACCGGATATGTACACCGGATGTCCCCCATATACTCCATACCCCCCACACAATTCCCCCCCCCCTCCAAAAAAAAATTCCCTCCACCCCAAAAAAAAAAATTTCTCTCTCTTTCTCTAGGTTTCCCCCTTATCCCACCCTCCCCTTCTTGCTTCGCTGCACCTTCCCTGCTTCGCCATCCCTGCGCATCGCATCGCCTGGGATTGTCTTCATCGCGCCGTCCCTGCGCCTCGCAGCAACATCCCCTTGGATTGTCTTCATCGTCGTCCCTCGCCGGTGATTGTCTCTCGCAGGGCCGGTGATTGTCTCTCGCAACATCATCACCTTCCAGGTATTATTGTGCTGAATTTTTACCTTTTAAGGACTTAATTACATCAAATTTCTAGCCAAAATGGTAAACTGCAGCGATTAAATACACCAATGAAATGCGTGGTCCGAAGTAGAAGAAATAGGTATTCATATGCAGAATTTTTACGTTTTCATACTGGAATATGAACCCTAAATTCCTAATTAACGTTATTTATGTTTATGTCCGAAAAAATGGTAAATGTATGTGAACTGCTTTTCACAGACGCGAAATATCTATTTTGTGTTTACAGTTCTTGCCTGCTTTGTATCATGTTTTATCTGTCTCAATTATTACTTTTTGATAATCTATTATGAACCCTAAGTTCTGAATAATCTTTATTCCATGTTTAGTTATTTAAAAAATGGCAAATGTATGTGAAATGCTACTCACAGACGCAGAATGTATGTGTTCAGTGTTACTTCCTTACGTGCTTCGTATCATGTTTTTGCCCATTTATTACTATCATATCTCTAATAGAAGTACTACGCTAAGGTTATTAGTTTTCTTTGCTCTCTTATATCCGGTGACTATGGCAATGACGAATGTTTATTTTGTAGGCACAATAAAATGGCACTTATGGTTCCCACCAAAGATCACTTCCCTGCGCAGTATTCGGTTTGTGGAGAACTAGAAGATGCAGTGGCCATAGTTAGGAGCAAATTGAGTGTAGAGAATATGGCGAACTTTCGAAAAATGCCATTCGGTCATTTCATGGATGTGCGGAAGCTCCAATTTTCTGGACAACTCATCCATATCCTTATGCTACATCTCGTCCGCGAACAACCTGAAGACGAGATGTGGTTTATGATCAATGGTACTCTTCACAAGTTCACTTTTGAAGATTTCTGTCGAATCACAAGTTTGCCGACTTCGAAGTCATATCCAAATTTTAGCAATGTGAGGTCTTCGTCCGAGACTATTCACAAAAAGTATCTTGGAGGGGGGACGGTGAAATGCACCTTCGCGCACTTTCGGAATATGTTTATGACTGCGGAGGAAGATGTACCCGGGAGTGATTTACATAAGCTTGCCTCATTGTATTTTGTTGAGCATGTGCTGTTAGCAAAAGATAGAGGTACATGCATTGATGCCTCCCACCTCGAAGCAGTTGATGACCCTGACCTGTTTAATGCATTTCCTTGGGCTTGGGAGTCATACCTCTTGACGGTGCGGCATCTGAAGGGGATGATGGATGGCCAACCGGAGAAATTTAAAGAAAAGAAAAATAACAACTCCAATTTGAAGTCTTGGAAATATGCATTGTATGGATTTCCACTTGTTCTGCGGGTAAGTTTAATTTATATTTATTCTTCTACATATTTTTATATGATGTTTCATAAAAAGTATTGATTTCCACACTGTCTTGTTTTCTCCGATTTCAGGATATTTATAAAACAGACACTTCTATACTAGGACATGGAAAACACTAACACTTCTCACCTACGCTCTGAATAAAACAGACACATCTGTTTGTGTATATTTATAAAACAGAATAAAAAATCTGTCTGCCATGAATAAAACAGACACATCATCTGTCTGACATGAAAAAAACAGACACATTTTGTGAACTTTTGTAACATGTATAATTTAAAGTATTCATTTCCATGTCTTTTATTTTCTCAGATTTGGGCTTATGAGACGTTTCCAGTGCTTGACGCCGAGGTTGCTCAGTGTAATCGAGCGATAAAATGTCCACTGTTACGTTGGGGAGCCAAGAAATGCCCACAGTACCACTCTCTAAAGCAGTTGCTATTCCCTAATGAACCTGAAGAAGTCGCAAATAAGATGGTATCATAGTTGAGAATTTGATAAAAGCATCATTACCATATGCTTGATGTATTTTCGATTTTTTACTAACTTATTTCCTTAAATTGTTTTAGGACAACACACTTGATTTGTTGTTTAGAAGTGTTGAAGATTTAAAGAACACTCTAAACAAAAGGATTGATGCATTGGAGGATAAAATTGATGGTTTGTGTTGTGACGTGAAGGATATGTTCACGGTTGTAGTAAACACACCTTCATCATCACATGTTGCCGTAATTCGGGCTGTGCAACCACAATTGGATCGGGCTTGTGGCTTTAGACAATTCTTAGATCGGCTCACCCTATTACCTTCTCTACCACATGAGATTGTGATAGAACGTATTATTCCATAACATCCCCTCCTCAAACTTCTCTTTTTAATGGGAAACCCCATTCCCTTTGCATAAGTATGGTAGAATTCATATATGGCATCATAATTCGAAAACTTCATCCCAACATCAGGGACAAGGCTTACAGGGACTGGGAGTTCAGCACTTCTTCGAACATTGCCATCACTTTCATTCTCTTCATGTGTGGACAAATTACCGATGGCCGGCATGTTCAACACCGCTGTTTCTGGACAAACATTTCCAACATTTCCATCAATTCCGTTTTCTTCAACACATAGCTCTCTGGACATGTCCATCTCAAAACCTAGAAAACAATATAATACCTTAGTATTAATGCTATTTACCATGAGGAGGGTGATATAAACTTGAAACTTACAATGCCCCGTTGTGTTGTTGTTTTCCTCGCACCCATCCAACATGTCAATGAAAGAGATGTCAAGTACAGGATCTATGTCATCAATGTCTATTAAATCTGTCAAAGAAAAACAAATCACAACATTAAAATTCCCAGTTCCAATTATCACATACAGTAAATGTCTGTTTTATACTACATGAAATACCACACTGTCTGTGAAACCCTAAGCACAAACCTTAAGCACATACTTTGCTAAATTTTCTCAGTTCCATATACTATGTACATTGTATGTGTGTGTTCAAATACTGTAAACATGTATTTGTCTAACTAAACATATGGATATAACAACTATATTCGTCAAAAACCAACAGACCGCTCACAACACTACAATTCCCCTTATTCCAATCATTACATACAGTAAATGTCTGTGACGCTTTAATTTAAATAACATACTGTCTGTGAGAACAGAGTGACAAACAAAATAATCTTTTACCCCATCGTGTTCCTTTTAAACATGGTTCAATACGACTACTACGAAAAATCCTCATCCAGTTACATTAAAGGACTATTATCCCAAAAAATTCCATTCTTTAAGATTATCACAAACACTTTTCATCTGTGTTACAACTTCATATACATCATAGTCTCTGTGTGAGTTACAAAATTGAAAATTAGAATGACAGAGGTTCATAGACTGTTTACTGTACGGATTAACTTACCTGCAAACATAGGGACGACCAGAGGTTCTTCGTACATTATCACGCACACACTCCTACAGCAAAGCTTCCAGATTGTGATGATGATTGACGATGATGGTGACGGAAACTGGTGTTGATGTGCGCGACTGTCAGGAACACGATGGACTTCCTTACGCCGTTTACTTCTTCTGCGGGCGACACAGGATGGACGGCCGGCCGTAACATCCGATGGCGGTCCGGTGGGAGAAATCGATTGTGTCAGAAATCTAGGGTAGTTGACGACAGCGGAGAAATCGTGCGAGGGAAGAGAGGGAATGTGTAAGGAAAAAATGTGGGAAACTAACGTGGGTGGGGAAGTGGGGGTGGGGGGGGGATTTGGCCGTGTGGGTGTATATGGTGGTGATTTTGGGGTACCCATACGGTGTACCCCTAGCGGGATTGAACCACAAAACAAGTTGGTGACGTCAAATTGGTTAAAGGTGTGAAATTAGTTGCGTCATTTGCATGTGTGTGTCGGCTGTCGGGTATAAGTTTATCATAGAGATTTTTTACTTTAAAATCCATAAAAGGTAAGTTTGTAAAATTTGTGAACTATATGTTGGGAGAAAGACCAAAATAGAACTAAAACTTTGAAAATATACCAAAATAGGACTTTCATGTTTTTATTCCCGAAATAGGATCTACATTACGAACCATGGTCATTTACATTACCAAAAAAGCATAGTAATTTGCACATGTACACTTCTACATTAGCATAATGCAAGGTCACATTACCACAATGCAAAGTCCTATTCCAGGAAAAAAACATGAAAGTCTTATTTTAGTACTTTTATCTATGTTTTAGTCATATTTAGGATGATTTCTACTATATGTTTGTGACTCTAGTATTTTCTTTCATCATAACTCGAAGTGTTATTAGCTTACTCCGTATTATATTCTTCTCATTAAAAGAAAGATAAGATGCACTCAAATAATATGCTAAAAATAAGATGCACTCTCATATAATAAGAGATTTTTTACTTTAAAATCCATAAAAGGTAGATTTGTAAAGTTTGTGAAGTATATATTTGTGACTAGCATTTTCCTTCATCATACCCCGAAATGTTATTAGCTTACTCCGTATTACTCCGTATATTCTTGTCATTAAAAGAAGAGTAAATTCCATAATTGGTCCTTTATAACATGGGGGTTTCCCTATTTAGTCCTCTATTATCAAATATTACTCCCGTAGTCCTTTTTTTAAGGGTGCCTTTCCACAAATGGTCCTTTTTTGATCTTATGCCATGTTGGTGTTACTTTAAAGACTAAAAGCATAATTTGACATCAACATTATGTCTAGTGACGTGTTCTGATATTGGTTAAGCGAATAACACAAAAATAATGACTATGATTGTGGACTAGAATTCAGACAAAAGATCACATTTGTAGACTATGGTTGTAGTAGAAAGCGACTGTAATTCACAAACGACGCAAACGAAGCAGCCTTTGGAATTGTGTATGACAAAAGAAAATATTATCATTGTGAAATTACACTTTTAGCCATCAAATTAACACAAACATGATTGAAGATTAAAAAAAGGACTATTTATGGAAAGATACCCATAAAAGAAGGACCACTGGGGTAATATTTGATAATAGATCAGAGGACTAAATAGGGAAATCCCCATGTTTTAAAGGACCAATTATGGAATTTACTCTTAAAAGAAAAACAGAAAATAATCTTGAACTCATTAATTTAAACTATCGTTACCCACTTACCCTAGCTTAGTTGTCCCGTGATCATAGTAAGCTTTTTTTGCCCCTTTTCTACCTTGAATAGCACTCACCCCGTCCTATAATGATCTTCTCGGTTTGACTAAACTTCATTTTTAGAGAAGGGATATATATACAGTTTGACTTTCCAAGAATACTCCTCTGTTCTAAATTTGGAAAACACAAAACATGTCCATCTTTTTCAGTTATTGGATTGTGCAAGTAACGACAACAGGACGATCTACTCGGCAGTCTGCTCGGTGTCGGTCAAGTTGGATTCGTGTTTGGTCGAGTTTGACATATTTTTAGCAGGTCATTTTGGGTTTAGTCAACTTAAGATTCGGCTTGCAAAACGTTTGCTCAAACCCCAATTTTTTTACGTCGAGTCTCAGGTTAAAAGACAAAATTAGGTCTAGGTATAATTAAATTGTAGAAGGCACCTACCTATAGTTATAGAAATCACCACTAAAATATAAAAAAAATATCAAAATAGGAGTTCCATATTTTTATTTTTGAAATGGAACTTCGCACTGTGATAATGTGGTTATAATGTGGCACTGTACATATGCACATTACTATACATTTTGGTAATGTACATGACCATGTTTGATAATGCAAATGCATTTCAACTCCTATTTTGATATATTTTCAATGTTTTACTTTTACTTTAATTTTTTTCCCTTATAGTTATGGACATTAATGATCATGATGGTGTAATTATTGACCGGTATATCGTTTTTAGCCGGACAAAAATAATAAATTACTCTAAAAAATACACCAAAATATAAAAATAAAGATTTTGACGTGGCAACCTAAATCGAGAGAAAACTACGAGCTTTTTTGGCGGTACCATGTCAAAGGGATATTTTTATTAATATCGAGAATTATACACAGTACATAATGTCTGGTGACTAAAATTAAATGGGAATCTATTCAAAACAAAAAGAAAACACTTTTTAAATTTTTGACCAGTCTGGGACAGACATTAATTAATTCTTGCTAGCTATAGTTACCAGTTAGGTTCTTCAACCTTTTAAGGAGGACCATCGAAATTGCCTGCCTTCCAATCTAGCTACCATTTCTTTAATTTTTCCTATATAATACTCCTTGCGTTTTTAAAAGATGTTCGTGCTTCATTTTTTGCACATCTCATAAAATATTTTTATCTCAACTCAAATGTCTAAAAAACTTTTAAAACAACTTCTACCCGCGCGAAATAAAGTAGAAGTGTGGTAAATTTTAAATATTACAGATGTGGATAGACATGTTGTATAAGATACCCAAAAAATGAAACGAGAACATCTGTTTGCAACGGAAGGAGTACAATATTCACCCAAATTTTAATTTTACATTAATTAGTTTTCAGGATTTTTTTTGTTATTTCATTTGAAGTGTTAATTAAAACAAATTAACAACTAAGTTCAAGGATAATTTTGCATCATATCTACTCCCTCCGTCCCTAAAAATTAAACATTTCAACTTTCATATCTTACATGTCCATAAAATATTTCAATTTCGCCTAAATAGTAGACACAATTGCACTTGTTTTTCTTAAATCTAACTGAACCTATCTCACCTACCTTCTACACTCTATATATTTTGACATTTTTCGAGCCTAAGTTGTTTCAATTATCGTCGTTTCGTCTTAGTCAAAATTTTATCTTTTCCTCTCAAGCCAAAAGTCAAAACTGATAAAGTTTTCTGAGATGGGAGAAGTATTATTCTTGATAGTGCTTGGGATTGATATACACTTTTGTATGTTTCTTACTATTTCAATAATACGGAGTATATAATTATCCCATCAACCATTAATCAAAATACTATGTATGGTGCCTTAATTCTATATTTAGAGACAATAATGGTGAATGAAGTATCACAACAAAAAATAATGAATGAAATAATTGAGATGTGTTTGGCTTGTTAATCGAACCCCGATGAATCAAATCAAATCAGATGTGTATTTAATTTAGACTTTGCATTACCATTTTGGTGTAATTCAATTCTATTATATCTTTCATCATAAGCCAATGCATGTGGTTTGTCCCTCGTTTATTTGAAATATATACAAGCTAATTGTCAATTCTCTCGAGACTCTTAACTTTAAAAATGTGACATATGTCTCTTTAAAACAATGGCATGTGGCTCTTTAAAAAAATGACATGTGGCAATATTTATGTGTCATTATTTTTTGACTAGTTTTTCATGTATTTAGTTGATGCTATCAGTTAGATAATAGTAATAGTATTACTTATGGTAGTATTGATTATGGTAATGTTTGATTACTAGCCAGCTTCATATTTCTAGCTATTTATGTGGTAGATGTACTATTTTTGTTAGTTTCCGTTCTATATTTCTAGCTAGTTGTGTTAGTATTCTCTTCTATATATACGTACTATATCATGTACTCCATAAATAAATGAGCAATATTATTATTCTAATATTGTAACATGGTATTGGAGCCACTGTTCTTGGTGACCAAAAATTCACCGCGCTCGCTCCTGGTGGGTGGCGCCGCCATTAGTCACCCGCTGGACTTGTAACATCCTTAAACAAGCTAAGGGCCTAGAAAAATTTAGTTAAAAATAATAAAAACAAAAAAATTGAATTTAAATAAATTAATTTGATAATCTAAAAATAATAAATTATAATTTGAATCAAAGTTAAAAATTTTGTTTTTATAAAAATGGTTTGGGAATATTAGTTGGGATTGGATCCAAGTTAATTTAATTTTGGGCTAAGTAATAGAATTGGGCCACAAAAAAAACTCTGAAATACGGAATAAGTACATTAAAAATCATTAATTTGAATGAGAAGTTGAATAGCAAAGCGAAAATTGACTCAATGTTTGAGTCACGCCATTAGAGTTTGAATCCCACTCTTTGCAGTGAAATACTCCCTCCGTCCCAAAAAGATTTACACCTTTCAAAAAAATTGTGTCCCACAATCTCCTACCCATTTCTATTAAAAAACCACTTTTACCCCTTACTTTTTCAAACCCTACCTATCACATCATACCTTTTTCCTAATAATCTACACAAAATCAACACAAAATTTTCCTAATAATTTACCCATTACATCAAGGGTATTTTTGGAAAGTCAACACAAAATTATCCCTCCCTTAATTTTTACTTTAGTCAAAATGAGTAACACTTTAAGGGACGGAGGGAGTATTTTTTATCTCTTCCTTTTCTTTACATGAAAATTAGTAATATAATTCCCAAAAATATCCAAACTCTTCCCTAATCATTTTTTTTAATTGGAACTAATTGGAAATCTATTTCTAAGTTATTTTGGAGTCTTTTTAGTTACTTTATCACATTAAATTACTCCATATCAATCAAAACATCATCAAATATTCTTAAAATATTTTTAATGGATTTTGATGACATATTTGAAGAGTTTACACTTCTCTTGATTTTTTTTGATATGATCTTGATTTTATGATGTTAGAATTCTCCAAAAATAATCTAAATTATCATGATCAAGTTGAGGTAATCTTTATTGATTGTTTCTACAAGTTTTTACCTATAAATAGCCACATAAGTTTATTCATTTTTTTCACAAAACTTCCTTAAAAATTGCAGCAACTTTTCTCTTCTTTATACTCTATATATCCATAAAAATATTAAGTTATTTTACTCCAAATACACTACCAAATTTTTTCCCAAAAGACTAGAAGAAGTTGGAGCCAACAATAGTTTGTTTAAAGCTCATTTAAGGTAAGAAAACCCTACCGAAAATTTTGTGTTTTTTTAAAAGTGTTCTTCAAGTTATTGAGACACTTTTTGCTATTTTTTGTTCTTCGGTAAAACTCGATAACACCTCTAAAGTCTCAGTTTCTTACTAGTCTTCAACAACTCCGTTTCACTTTCTCTCTCAAGCTCGAGGTATGTACAAAATTGTATTGCACGGACCTCCCGTTCAACTACTATATTTTTAGAAATCCTTTAAAAAACACTCTTTTTATGATATAAAGTTATTTAAAAAAATATATACAAAGTAGTATTTTCTTTTCAAATTAATATTTTTAACAATTTTGAAATTAAAGTTTTAAAAGTGATATATAATATTGATTTATAAAAATAATTTGATATATATGGAATAATATTCAAACTTTTATATTATCATAAGTTTGAACAACTTGAGATCATCGTAAACTTATATTTCGGAGCAACGGTAGGAGACCCCTATCACCGCTCATCGTATATGTATACAGAATCATCGGCCAAGGTTGCGAGAATGATGCCCAAAAGGCATTATTTCTCAGGGCTACATTCGGAGACCCCGGGTGTATGTCGTTAAATTAAATATTTCGTATCTCAGTACTTTGTATAAAAACCTTTTGAAAAATTATTATCTAACTTATAACTATGTTGTTTCATATATGGAAATTCATTTTGTAAAAGTATGATATTGATTTTCGTAAAAATTATATTTTTACGAGACTCGGTCCTATATTATTTTGTACAACTCAGCAAATATGCTTAACTTACAGTATTTTTGGTTTTTATTGTGCGTAGGTGATGTAGCAGGAACAAGTGGAAGTGCAAGACATGGTAATTAAATCTGTTTAAATAAATACAGTTATGTGTTTATTTTAATTGCTTGAATAAAAAGTTTGTATTTTTTTATATGATGTTATGTTCACAAACATATTGTATTTTAAACTTGTTTCCATTGTTTTTAATAAATATTTATATGATGTTTTTTATAAGAAATTAGTATATTTCGTTTTAACTCTCTAATTTGGTATAGTCCACGGGACTGTTCAAGTTAGGGTGTTTCCTTCAATTTTAAAGATCTCCAACTTCTCAAAAAATCTGCACCATGTTTTTCTTTTGATCGGATTTGCTTCAATTAGAAAGTCAGCCAAACTCTCAAAAAAATCCAATCCAATTTTAATTATATACACCCCTTAATTTTTTCTCTCTCTTGCATTTATGTAGTGGAGATGAAGGAGGGTACAAATAGAATAAACATTTGGTATACTCTTAACATTTTTGAACAAATTTTATTGGGGAAAGAAACAAGGAATTGAAGGGAAAAAAAAGGAATTGCAACAAAAAGCATCTCACGGTTTTCTCAGCCCACAGCGCACGAGCTTGAGAAATCACAAGTCAACCGACATGGGTTCTTCTGGGATCTGAGAAGAATATCTCGCGGCAGCCATCGGAGCGAGCGGAGCAGAGCGCAGCTTCACCACCACCACCACCGCTCAAAATTTGATTTGGGTTCTGCTTCATCCCCCCAAATTGAGGATCTTGAATCTTGATTGATGTAAAGTCACAATTTTTTCTTCTTCCCATACACTCTCAAGATTCCAACTTTTCCTTTTGATTCTAATTACTATTGTTATTGTTTCGGCTGCAAGTTGCTACATTTTCTTCAAAGATATCACCTTTATGACTTTTGAAGCAGTTTGGATTCTGAACATTCAGTCTTGATTTACACAGGCCGCAGAAATGGGGATCTGTTTCAGCAAGAAGAAGTTAAGACAAGATGGTAATCGTAATGGGGATAGGATTGGAAGGGGAGGAGCTGCTGCTGCTGGGTACCAGCCAGTGAGTGAAAGCCCGCATCAAAAGGAGCCACAAGCTTATCCGCAATCCCAGACACAACAACCCCAAAGGTCCCACAATCCCCCTCCGTCCTATACTGCCCCTGTTCATGTCCCTGCAAAGCCCTCGCAACCGTCACAACCTCCTCCGGTTGTTAGGGATCCTGTTCAGAGAACAGAACCAAACAGCATATTGGGGAAACCGTTTGTGGACATTAAGGCTCGCTACACTCTTGGGAAGGAATTGGGGAGGGGCCAGTTTGGGGTGACTTACCTGTGCACTGAGAATTCCACGAGGCGAGTGTATGCTTGCAAGTCCATCTTGAAAAGGAAGCTTGTGAGTAAGAATGATAAGGAAGACATGAAAAGAGAGATTCTTATAATGCAGCACTTGAGTGGGCAACCTAATATCGTGGAGTTCAATGGTGCTTTTGAGGACAGGCAGTCGGTGCACCTTGTGATGGAACTATGTGCCGGTGGGGAGCTGTTTGATAGAATCATTGCTCGTGGGCATTATACCGAGAGGGCGGCTGCGGATTTGATTAGACAGATTGTGAATGTGGTCTACATTTGCCATTTCATGGGCGTTATGCACAGGGATCTCAAGCCGGAGAATTTCTTGCTAAGTAGCAAGGATGAGAATGCCATGCTCAAGGCAACTGACTTTGGACTCTCTGTATTCCTTGAAGAAGGTGATTTCTTTCGTTCTACTTGAATGTTGATTAGGCCATACATTGAGATCAGATACTTTTGTGATATCTGGTAGTTGGACTTGGCCCTATATGTGCTAGGATACATGAAATTTAGCACTTTCGTTTTCTTTTAACTTAAGTTTAATTGTGGCCTATTCCAGCATGATGACGCAAGGTGTCTAGATCATTGAGTTTGGTTGATGTGGGATACTCTTTCATATTTTTAGTGAGGAGAAGAGACATGGTTCCTTTCATAATACAATATGATACTAGTATTAGTAACGAAAAAGCATCTGAGCTTCATTGTATAAATCTCATAGGGCTTGTTTGGTTGGGGGATTTTTAAGGGGAGAGGGGAAAGAGATTGATTTTTGTTTTATGAATCTATGCATATTTGTCATCAGCGAATAACTATACCTTTGGTTATGCAATCATAGCAGTGTAGTTCTGTATAATCTATGTATCCAATAAACTTCCTTTCATAGTTTTGATGAAGTTTTGGGTAGTAAATGCGGCAATGCACCCATTTACTTTCTATGTTATTGTTAGTTTTTACTTTCTTTCCAACGAACTAATCCATTAATAATTTCTTAAATTAATTATCACTCTTTAAAATCTCCAAAACAAACAAGGGGTCATAGACTTGTTTATGAAAATTTACTGCAAAACAGTGTTCGCAACTTTGCACTATTCTCTAAGCTTTCAAGAAGAGGAAAAGCCTACAAAAGAACTGCTACAACAATATCAACATCTTTAGGCCATAAACATGCCAAGAACGTTATTTGCTCTTCACGAAGGATGCATTTTAGTAGTCTAGTTTTAGAGAATTTCTTGCATTTCTCTATAACCGAATTAGATCTGCATATGTAAGAAGCCAAGAACTACTGCAAGTTATCTTTTGTTAAAATTCACACCCCAATTGAGGTTGTTTTTTTGTGTGTATTGATGATAAAGCATGAGAACCAATTTTAACGCCCAAAGCAGATCTTTGCTGAAAACTATAACGATTACTTTTAATTGACTTTCTGTGGCGACTTAATGACCTTATCCATGTTCTTGGCTTCATGCAAATGACTTTTGTTAGCTTTTATCAGTATTGCTAATGGCTTTTTTCTTTTTTCTTACTTTAATTATAATTGCAGGAAAAGTTTATCGGGACATAGTTGGGAGTGCGTACTATGTTGCTCCTGAGGTTTTGCGGCGTAGTTATGGGAAGGAAGCGGATGTGTGGAGTGCAGGCGTGATTTTATATATTCTTCTTAGTGGTGTGCCTCCATTTTGGGCTGGTGAGGTGCAATTAGCATTTGGATTTTACATCTTTTTCTATACTAGTAATTTGGAGTATGTGTGAATCACGAAACATAACAGGGGAAAAACGTGAGGTAAAATTATTTATTTATGTTTTGTGTTACCTTGTAAAATGGAATGGAAAATGAAACACGATCAATGTTGAATCTCAAACTTTACATATGTTTAGCTCTCTTATTCGTCATATAATTGAAATTTTAAAATTTGTTTGAACAATAACATGAACGACTGTGTTTAGTTCATTTTTCCCCTAGTTTTCTTTTCCTCTGTAACCAAACAAGAAAAAATGTATTCCATATCACTTTCTTTTCTTTTCCCTTTAAAATTCTTTAACCAAATCTAGTGTTAATGATTTTTTTTCTTTTTGCAGAAACGGAGAAGGGAATATTTGATTGCATACTAAAAGGAGAAATTGATTTTGAGAGTGATCCATGGCCGGCAATATCAAGTGGTGCCAAGGACTTGGTTAAAAAAATGCTTACGCTGGATCCAAGAAGCAGAATTACTTCTGCACAAGTTCTTGGTATCTCAAACAATTTTTTCTTCATTCTTGAATTATTAAGACAACATCTGCCTGCATTGCACTATAGGATGATTATTGTTTATAACTTCCTCAAAATTCACTATGACTGTTAAATAGAGCACCCATGGCTTAGAGAAGGTGGAGAAGCTTCCGACAAGCCGATTGATAGTGCTGTACTTTCCAGGATGAAGCAATTCAGGGCAATGAACAAGCTCAAGCAACTTGCACTAAAGGTGACGAACTTTCCACTTTGATTTTCACATGTCTATTATATTGTGTGCGTATGTGTGTTATTCGTCTTTTTTTTTGCATTAAAATCATAACAATGTAGTTTATCTAGCTCTGCATACCACTTTTTTGTACTGTACAACTTTGTTGCAAGGATTTTTCAGATATGTTTTGTTTCCCTTTCCCATACCCAAACCGTCCCCATTTGGGTACTTGGGCTTTGTAAAATTTGGAAAAGCGGGTGTTTCCCGTCCGTGGGTGCCCATGCTTAATATAGTTGGATTTTTTTGGACACATTTATTTATTTATTTCTATCATAAAAACACTAAGAAATTTAAATATATGAACACGAACAACTCTAATCATATTCCCATTTCATTTGCATTTTCCAAGGCAAAAAAGTAGCTTTCTTTACAATTTTCTTGGCATTTTCCATGGTCAGAACATACACTTACACTATGTTTGGTTCAAGGAATTTAGGAGGAAAAGAAAAGAAAACAATTTTCTATTATTTTCCTCGTCAAAATGGGAGGAATCTGGATTTCCCCCCACTTAGTACATTTTGTATTCTCATTTTCTTTTCCTTCAACTTTTCCTTTCTTTTCCTCTCTAACCAAACAAAAAAAAAACTGTTTTCCATTTCGTTTTCTTTTCTTTTCCCTTTCAAATTCTTTGAACCAAACATAGTGTTAAGATGTAATCTTGGAATTCTTCATGTTTCATCTGAAGTCTAAAGAGCAGTAATGTGCTCCTTGTTTTGAGAATCATATACAGCAACTACCAGCCTACCACCATTTATATGATTCAATAAGACACCTTTTTTTACCACCATTCCAAAAATGTGCATCATATTGGCTTCCAATCAGCGTGGAGTTAGCTCTTTTTGCCCATGAGTGTTGTTTTTGTTTTGATGGATACTCTCTGAGGCGCGGAGATATTGGGCCCGGCTCACGACGCCCATCGTGTAAACCCTGACCCCATAGTGTTCCCTGTTCACCTATAAAAGAGGCTCCTTTCCAAGAAGAAGGGGATCTTGATCCAACCCCACTCACACCTCTACACACTATAATTATCCCTCTTTGTATATTCATGTTCTCCATAGAACTTCAAGCTCCATCAATGACCACCGAACCTATATTGTACTCCCTCCGTCCCACTTGAACCTTTACATACACCATTCACAGGGTCAAACTTTATATACTTTGTTTTTCTATTTTCGTTACTGATTTAATAAAATCATATAATCATGTCACTTCTAGTTTTCTAGATCTTTTGATGCAGTTTTTTAATATATAATTTTTATTTTTTAATTTTACACTTACAATCAAATAAATTGAATTGAAAATAAAGTTGGTCAAGCATCGTAACACAGACCGGAAAGATTCAAATGGGACGGAGGGAGTATGTGTAAACCCCTAAATATAGGGTTAAATATGTTTTGGTCCTTGCAGAATAAGTGAATTTTGTTTTTGGTCCCTCAAAAATAATTTTTTACTTAAGTAGTCCCTGTAAAACATAAGTTTTTGCAAATGGCCCTTCCAGTTTTTTTCTAAATGTAGGATTGATGTTGAATAAGTTTTTGGGCTCTGTAAAATTGAGAATTTTGTTTTTGGTTCCTAAATTTTGTATGCCCAAAATTATTTTGTTTTCAATCCCAGTAAACCCTAACTCATCAACTTTAAACTAAGGGGAGGACTATTTGCAAAAAAAAAATACATTTTACTAGGATGAATTTAAAAAAAAAATATTTTGGAAGGACCAAAAGCAAAAGTCACTCATTTTACTGGGACCAAAAACATACTTAACCCCTAAATATATGAATAAAACACCCCCATTGACATGGTACTCCCGGAAAAGGCATGCACTCTTTACAGATTTGGTTTCCAATGTAAACATCATCGTGTTTATACTATCTATCATTCTAGATCAGATTTCAACATTCTTGAATATCGATATATCAATCATCCATCGCTTTTCTTTTTTATTTTATTTGTGATAGGAGGTCCTATAGACAACCTTCTGATATTGTATGTATTTAAGAACTGTAGGTGATCGCTGAGAATTTGTCTGAAGAAGAGATAAAAGGACTAAAAGCAATGTTTGCAAACATTGATACAGACAATAGTGGCACTATTACATACGAAGAGTTGAAATCTGGATTGACCAGGCTCGGTTCCAAATTGTCCGAAACTGAAGTCAAGCAACTCATGGAAGCTGTGAGTATGAGATATCAATAATCTCTTCTTTTTTTCTCTCCATTAATGGTTTGTTCGCGTGCCTTATTTATCATACAAAAATAAAACTTCAGGCTGATGTTGATGGAAATGGAACGATTGACTATATTGAGTTCATCACTGCAACAATGCACAGACATAGGCTTGAAAGAGACGAGCATCTCTACAAAGCATTCCAACATTTTGACAAGGATAATAGTGGGTAAGTCCAAAATGTTAAAGTATTTCAAAGCAATTTTTCATCCTTGCCGTGTTTATTACTTGCATTGCATACTCCATCCGTTCTTGAATAACTTTCTACTATGACTTTTCACATACATTAAAAATTGAAACTCATAATATACAATTATTTAAGAACAGAGGGAGTATGTCTTATGTCTAGGTTTATAAATTATTATTGTAAAAAGTAAAAACAATCTTGGCAATACGGGTGCATTTATTACTTTTTATTTTTTTTTGTTTTTACCATTCTAAAAAGTTGAATCATGGCACACTTGTACATGGAAGCAAAACTAAAAATATTTCGTATTAAATGCGTAGTGACTAAAAGTTTTAGTACATTTCAAAATTTTATGTAACATTCTTATTATGCAATACTCTTATGACAGTGGATGTTATAGCATATACGCGGTTTGTCATAACTATGATACGTCAACATTTTATTCTTCTTCTGAGTTCTGACCATTATCAGATTTTCCTATATATTGATAATACTCTGTATTAATTCATATTTTAAAAATATTTGATGTCTTGGCTCTTAAAGATTCATTACAAGAGATGAACTCAAAAGTGCTATGAAGGAGTATGGTATGTGCGATGAGGCTACGATCGAAGATATCATTGCTGAGGTGGACTCAGATAATGTAAGAAGTCATCGTCCCGTCCTCATACAATCTCCCTAGACCCCATTTTGTGGGATTTTACTGGGTTTTTATTGAATTTGACAAATTTACCCTTGGAACAGGACGGGCGGATCAATTACGACGAATTTTGTGCAATGATGAGAGGTGGAATGCAACCACAAACGAAGCTTTTTTAATGCGCCGAGGCAAGAATTTAATTTCCATTACATTTGATGAATTTCATGTTTTTCTTTTCTTTTTTTTCTTTATTAGTTCTTTCTTTGAATTCGTTTCTCGACTTTTTTCGGTGGGTGATGTGAGATGAAAACTGGAGTACACTTAGGCACTGTGGTGTAAATTGTTGCATTTTCTGAGCATTATCATGTAGTGTGTGCATATATTATTACCTATGTCCTAGTTTCATTCTTCTTTTGTAACTTTAATGTAATCTGGTCTGAAATAATCTCACCTTTGTATGAGATCTGTTTGGATAAGGGGGATTCAATAACTCAGATTCTCAGAATGTCATTGAAATAAAGAATCTATGCAAGTTTTGAGATGCCTTTGTTTAGTGAGATGCCAAACAGACCTTTCAATATCAGTCAAGCATTGGGAATGCAACATTGGAGGGTTTTACACTATTTGTACACTCTCATTTGATTATTGTTTGTTTGTTATTTATATAAAAATGAGGAAAAATAAAATCATGTGAGTTGATTTGTTGACATTGGTATTTTAGTCTTGCTTGAAGAATAAAAAAGAAAAAGCACAAATGATATGATGACTCTGGAAGAAGTGTTTTAAATAAATGAGGTGAAAAGGTGAAAATCCTTCGAGTTTCTCTCAATTTCTTTCCGTTTCTTCCCATTTTCAACTCTGAAATTTTCAATTTTCAACTCTGAAGGACAAGCCTGACTATATATTCAAAATGGACTACTGCACACAACTTCAAATTATTATAGGCCCGAGGTGTTTTTTTACTTTTATTATACTCATAACAATTAGAAAGATTTTTAAAGAACTTTCTCTCCTGGCTTGAGTGGTAGAAATTCCACTCACTAATATTCGTGGAGAAGTTCATTTAGGTTTGAGCGCTAGCAGAGGCGAAGGCGAAGGCAGAAGCGTTGACTCTTTGTGCGTTATTAGGTCGAGACTAATATGAATAAGTACTACGTTGTAATAGAGTTAATAGCAATAAAAAAAGATTTTGAAAGAAAAAAATAACAAAAGGAATAGAAATTACTCCATAGATTATTTACAAAAAAATGAAAGAGTCCAAAAAATCAAGAGTATTGAAGTAGATGACACCTGAATTATATTCTAAAATGTTAGTGGAACTTTAATGTACTCCCTAATAAAAAATGTTGAGCAATACTTCTGAATTCTCAAAGCTGGTCCTGATTGTAACTAAATTTGACTCCTAGCAATGGCGATAAAGGATGATCATGTGTAATATAATGGGAGTTGATATCTACACTCCATAATTTACTAGTGGCACTCAATATTTTTATACTCTTTCATACACGCATGACAATATTACCCCTTTAATTAGAGATACTTCATCCCCATCTTACCCCATTCCTCCTAGCGCAAGTTCATTACAAACAAATCTACTCTTTCCATTTTTAAATTATCGTTCTCTTATGAACAACATGTAAAATTTTATCTTTTTAAAAATAATTTTATTTATAAATTGGTATAAAAATCCAAAATACAATTTACAAATTTAAAAATTACATTAAAAGATTTACAAATATGAGCGGGTACAAACATGCGGAGTAGTCGCCCGAGGAGACCATCGAGATGGCACGAGGATTACGCGACTTAGAATTCTAGCTATTTTTTCTATGTGCTTATAAGCTGGTCAGAACTGCTTATAAGCAGTTTTTAACTTATAAGTCAGTTAATGACATGTTTTTGTGTGCTTAAAAGTTGATTAGAAGCCAGAAAAAATAAATAGGTTTAGCTTCTTATTCATGGATAAGCTTAGTCACTTGGGACCTTGCATGTGACAACTAACTCTAACTCTTTGTGACCATCCCTAATTCTCACCTACTTTATCTTTACCATTTTACTGAAGACAATAAGTGCACTTTCCTCTTCTTTTATTAACTCAATTATATTTCAGATTGTAGCAGGAGTTAAGCAAGAATATACTTTATGTGATACTCCCCCCGTATTATTATTCTATCGAGCAGCAAAGGTACGATTCCATTATTCCAATACCACCTATTCTCTGCATCATTACGTGAGCCGCAGTATAATAATATACACCAAACCACTACTCCGTATTATTCACACTACGTAGCAGCCTATTAGTAGTATTAGCAGCTCCTCTCACTAAAAATGGCTACCTATATTAACGTCTATCTCTCCCATCTAATCTAAAATACTATTGTCGGTAGGCGCTGCACAGTTAACAAGACAAGAAGAGTCACGGGGTAAGATGGTGTAGCATTAGACCTCTGCAAATACCAGGTGTCGCCTCTACTCTTTGAAATCAATCTACGATCAAAGTCTAATTTACCTTCTTTTTATAATCGTCTGACAGGTCTAAAGAGGGCAGGAGGCCGGCCCTCGGGTATAGGATTGAGGATTTACCTAAATAGTACTAAATATAACGACTTTACTAATGTAGTACCATATATTTCTATTTTCTAATGTAGTACCAGTGGTCATTGTTCTAGTAAATGTCCACCGTCTACCACTAGACATTGTTCAAACTAAATGTCCACTATCACTGGACAGTATTCCCGTAAGTGGACATTATTCAAGTGCTCTTTAAGAAATAAAAAAGTTTAAGAATCACATTGAGAAATGATATATATTTTATAGAAATCACCCTAAATAGGATTAAAACATAGAGAAAAGTACCAAAATAGAGCTTTCATGTTTTTTTCCCGAAATAGGACTTTACACTGTGATAATGTGACTTTGCACTGTGGTAATGTGGTAGTGTACATGTGCACATCACTATACTTTTTGTAATGTATATGACCATGTTTGGTAATGTAAGTCCTATTTGAGGAAAAAACATGGAAGTCCTATTTTGGTATCTTTTCAATGTTTTACTCCTACTTTGGTCTTTCTCCCTATATTTTAGTACTCCCTCCGTCCCCCAGTTTTTGTCCACTTTCATTTTTGCACACCATCCAATGCACTTCTTTAATCCATTTTATCTTGTAATTTGTATATTAAAAAATTATAGAAATTATATATTAATAATCTATGTGTTAAGACAAATCAAACAAGATCACACATGACTATATTTAGGCTTACACATTGAGAGAATTTGATGAGTCAAATTGCTTAGATGAACAGTTCCAAAAGTCAAAAGTGGACAAAAATTGGGGGACGGAGGGAGTACTATTTAATACTCCCTCCGTCTCAGAGTATTTGTCCACTTTCATTTTTACACACCATCCAATGCACTTCTTTAATCCATTTTATCTTGTAATTTGTATATTAAAAAATTATAGAAATTATATATTAATAATCTATATGTTAAGACAAATCAAACAAGATCACACATGACTATATTTAGGCTTACACATTGAGAGAATTTGATGAGTCAAAGTGCTTAGATGAACAGTTCTAAAAGTCAAAACTGGACGAATACTCCAGGACGGAGGGAGTATGAAGTATAAATTTTACTATAGCATTCATCCTTTTTTTAAATAAAAAAATCTAAAATACTAGGGAGTATCAAATTATCCCCCAATTCCTGACCCACTGAGCACATACTTAAATACCACAGTTTGCACTTCGAGGCTCTCTAACAGTACTATTACGCATATGAACGACTGGTTGGATTTTGTTTCCTTGTTAAGCTCTCCCCCATTCATTTTCACCAAGTTTCACCCACAACTCCTTTCGGTGATAATTAATTACCAAGCTCCAAGTACACCAGATCTCATATGGCCCTTTATGAGAGAATTTCGGATAAGATAAGGATAACTATATTGAGTAATAAGACACTGAGATTGAACTACATTGAAAGATTGAATCTAATCGATTAGTTAATTCAACTCAAGAGCTTATGTATCGATTATTTTACTTTTGGACTTCCGGTGTGGGATGACACTCTAACAATCCAACTCAAGTGGACAACCTGGCCATTTTGAACCTAACGGTTGACCACTTGCAAATAGACTCTCTTCCCTTTTTTAGTGCCAACACGAAAAGGACCACGAGCCGCTAGGTATGGATTTCTAGACAAGCAATCGTGTTAAATAGGTCACAGGCCGTTGGGTACATACTCCATACAGACAACTGGGCTAAAGACTAATGGGCCGTTAGGAATGAACGTCTATACAAACACCTTGACAAATAAGGTGGGCCAAAACCCGTTCCGATACCATGATAGAATTTAAAATGAGATAGGGATCACTGGACTGGGTCATAAGATACTTGAGTTGAACCCATTAAAAGATTAAATCCAATCAACTACTTAGTTAAACTCCAGAGCTTATATGCCGGTTTATTTTCTCTTCAAGTTCTGATGTGAGATACTCTTTAACATTTCTCCTCAAGTGGACAATTGGCCCATTTTGAATATAACATGTTGATCACTTGTAAATGGACTCCCATCCCCTTGATGATTGTTTTGAAAGCCAACACCTGAAGGACCACGAGCTGCTGGGTATGGACTTTCAGACGAGCAATCGGGTTAAATGGGTCACAGGCTGTTGGATACATACTCCATATGGACAAATGAGCTAATGACAAACAGGTCGCTAGGAATGAACATCTAGAAGAACACTTTGATAAACGAGGTAGGCCAAAACCTACTTCGATGGCATGATAGAATTTAAGATGTGGTAGAGACCACTGGGTTGGGCTATAAGACACTTGGGTTGAACCACATTAAAAGATTGAATCTAATCGATTAGTTAGTTCAACTCAAGAGCTTATATATCGATTAATGGGTTTTAGAACCCAGGACCTAGGAGACTAGGTATAAGAGTATCGAACGAGTACTGAGTGCTTTAGGTTGCAAGAGTAGAGAAAAATATATTAGCATTGTCGTAAAAGTGGAAGTCCTCTTCCCCTCTTGGAGAGGGGTATTTATGCAATACATATTTGAGCTTTCTAACCGTATGTCTATGGCCTAGCGGGTCGAACCCATTGAGGCGAAACTGTCTGACTGACGGTGCCAAATATATGATTAGAAGCTATGATGGCTACCAATAACGGGTGACAATAGGGTGGCTACAACCTATCGTACAGACAAGTGCACCATGGTGTCCAATCGTGGGCCCGCTGATTGGACAAGGCATACATGCTCCCATGCCGTAGTGGGCCCATGATGCTTAGCTGGCGGCAGAGGCCGAACACGCATGCTTAGTTGTTGGAGGTCAACCATGGAGGGGCCGGCCGGGTCAGTCCTGGGTCCGAGCGGATGTATCCGTGCTGAGCAAAGATATGCACCCGAGTGCGGTTGTCACCTTGAGGCCTTGGTTTCTTCTTAAGTTTTTAACCGAGCACGTCCGAGTCATTCAAGTGGGTGGGTTTTGTTGGGCTGCTTATTCTGTTGGGCCGGATACCCCCATTTCGGAGTATCCATCACCGATTATTTTACTCTTGGACTTCCGATGTGGGATGACACTCTAACACTTTAGAGTAAACAAAGTCAAACAAACCTATTCCAAACTTTTAGTGATCAAGTCCTTGTTGCGTGGTGCTTCTTTGGTGGACCTAAATCTACACCAGTTTTTGGAGCAAAATATAGAAAAAAAATACCAAAATAGGAGTTCCATGTTTTTATTTTCTAAATAGGAGTTTGGATTGTGGTAATGCGGCACTGCAATGAGCATTTTACTATACTTTTTGATAATGTACATGGTCATGATTGGTAATGTAAATATTTTTTAACTCCTATTTTGGGAATAAAACATGAAACTTCTATTTTGGTATATTTTCAATGTTTTACTTCTATTTTAGTGTTTTTCCCTTTTTACATCAAAAGTATTTTATTTTATTTTTTTGGGAAAAATTTATAGTAATACTCCAAAAACTCTTCGATTTTATAAGAATACTCTCGAAAATCAATAAATTGTGTCATTACTCCCACAATTGCTCTATTTTTACAACAACACTCCATCCATCACATCACTTGCACAATCATATTGTGTAATATATATATTAATTTTTAAAGTGATGACTTGAAAAATAAATCATTTTTTACTTTTAATACAAAAAAAGTACTTATTTTTATCCAACTCAAATATCAATCTCCTACTTGAAGGATTTGTTTTTTTATGTAAAAAAAATTAACTTTCAATTTTTTCTACCTCTTTCTGAATTTTCCAACACACAATTTCTTCCAACATTCAGCTACTTTAGAATTCTGACAAAAAATAGCATGCCTTAATTGTGAGAGACGTGATTGATCTTTGAGTTGGAAGAAGAATAAGTAATTTATTTTTTCATGAAAACAAAAAATAATATTTTTTTTTTGCAAATCATCACTTTAAAAATCAATTTAGATATTGCACAATTTTTATTGTACAACTAGGGTGGTGGGTGGAACCTTTTTGTAAAAAGAGAGCAATTTTAGGAGTAATGGAATAACTAATTGATTTTCTGGGTATTCTTGTTAAATCAAGAACTTGTCAGAGTATTGTTGTAATTTGATTTAAAGAACTTGTATATTTTAATATACAACTTGTATCAAAATAAGATTTGATTTAAAGAACTTGTAATTTGATTTAAAGAACTTGTATATTTTAATATCAAAATAAGATTTAATATACAACTTAAATCAACGAAATACCTAAATAATAATAATAAAATATAGAACTTGTATCAAAATAAAATTTGCCTGTTTACCTCATAAATAGAATCGTAGACACTATAAAGTGCCATAATTTGAAATTTATGTTAATATTTTTCGATATTATAGTTTGACATTGCCTGTCTCTCTCTTGATTTTGCATAAAAATGAAATATCGAAAGAACGAAGTGCAATTCCCAAATACGGAGTAAAAAACACCCGTGTATGATGGGCTCCACATAGTTAGAGTTCATGTGTTAGGAGTAAGTCCACGATATATGTATTGCACTCCATTTCCACTTTAATTATTCCACTTGATTGGCCAAATTTATTCTCACGTTTTTAACCCCATTTTTATCCCTTTTCTCTCAAAACCTTGCTACGTTACAACTTAAAGTTATATAGTACAAGTACATCACAAGGGTCTCGTCCATAAAAAGCACTCCTACGCTATTTCATGTTTTTCTCTTAATTTTTTTCATGTCAAATTAATCTTCTCATTTTAATTTCATGAAGATTTAGAAAAATTGAACAATATTAAATAAATATTTTGGATGATGAAAACTATGTGGTTAAAATTTATTTAAAAGAGAGAAATATTTTGGATTATGTATTTACATATTTTCTTTCTAAATGTGAAAATTGTTTTGGAAAAAATAAAAAAGAAATTGCATAACTTTTTTTAGATAGAAAAGGTAAATTTTAAACTTTTTTTTTTCACCCGTTTTGAAATAATAAAATTCATATTTTTTCTATTAAAGAATGGAATATGGGAGTATGGGACGGAGGAGATAATTTGCAATCGGTAATTTCGGGTCTTTTTTTTACCCGTTAAAACCTAAGACCCACCAAAGAGCTCCATGCTCGGTGTGTCAAATAATATTTTAACTTTCCTTTTTCATCTATTTTAAAAAACATTTCTCATTATTTAAATACTCTCTCAATCCTAAAATGGATTGCATGCAAGCCAAAACCAGACAAAATGCTAGGTTTTCGAATTTGATTTAATTAGAAGTTGGCATAAATATAAAAGTAAAACTTTCATATTTAAAATTTAGGTCAAAATTATATAGAGTACAAAATAAGAAGTGATAAATATATTTTATTTTATTAAATAATCAACGACAACACATAAATAAACAAAATTTAAATTAATTTTGAAATAGTGGGATTCATTTAGGTAGAATAAAATTAAAAGAAATAAAGTCCTAATATTTTTTTGTTTTCTTCTCAAATAATAAGAAAAATTTGTTCCACATAGAACTAAAAGTTAGTACGTTCCCTGAATAAGACGAAATATGATTTATTTGCTTTTATGACACATATTTTCGTATGATCTGCCATATATGCCCTCATTATATTAGCAACAAATGTTGGATAATGACTTATTATATGAATGATTCTATAAATGTGATCATTAGCAACATGTGTTAGATAATAACTGATATTTCCATAATTATTCAATTTTTTTAAGAATGTCTTATTCTACTTGAATTGTGTAATAGTTCATTCTTTTATAATGACATGAAATTTTTTTAATAGACGTTTCACTAAATTTTACAAACAAACTACCATCGTACCATAAGTCATACTCTGTATTAATAGAATGACATATTAACAAATTAAAGGACATTATTAATATCCATATGTAGTTATTTTGGATACTTGTCATTTAACCGGCTATTAAGGAAGCACTCACATTTTCATAGGCAAGACATTTTAAAACTTTTCATTGCCAAACATTAGAGTAAATAAGACCGGTCTTATTTGAAAAAAAATAATATGTTTAAGTCTTATTTGCATAAATTATCCAAAAAACATTTCACTTTTTTCTGAATCCCGTAATTATGTACCCAAGATTTACTCCCTATTTTATAACAACATTATTGAACTTGGTGAAATTTAATAGGGGCATTTATTTGGAGAGGACTGAGAAGGATAGTATATATCAGAACATGGGGGCAGATGAGAATCAAAACCATAATTCTCTTTAGTGTCTCTTTTGTTTCAGTTTCCAGTTTTGTAGCTGCTTTTTTTTTGTTTCAGTTTTACACCCACTGTTACCACTTTCATATAAATACTTGTGACATCTTTACTTTATTTTTCCCACACAAAGCTTAAAATTTCTCTGGTTCTTCATAAATGGAAGACTACTGTGGATTGAGAAACAAAGGAAAGGCAGCAAAAAATGCAGATCTTCAAGAAGAAGAAGAAGAAGAGCTCTGGCGTGCTGTTCAACACGCCAGAGAAACGCCATCGCAGAAAGTGAAGACGATAGCTTCATCGTCTTCTTCTTCCGCGTGGCCTTTACTGAGGAAAGCGGTCCCGCGAGACCGCTCTACTCGTAACAGAGGAGGAGTGGACGAGAAGCACTTCTCGTCCACGGTTCCTCTGAAAATCCCAGAGTGGAGGTCCAAAAAGGGTGAAGATGATGAAGGTGAAGATGATGATGATGGTGGGGTGGTCCCACCACATGAATACATAGCAAGGAGGCTAGCAAGAAGAGCTCATCAGGTTGCATCTTTCTCCATGTGTGAAGGGGTTGGTGGGACCCTCAAGGGCAGAGACCTCAGCAAACTGAGGAATGCCATCCTAACCAAGACTGGTTTCTTGGAAGGGTAAAAGTGTCAATTTACATAGCCATAGTACGTGCCAGTCCTCCATGGATGCATGACGTCATGAGCTTCTCCTAGATACTCCCTCCGTTTCTTAAAACTCTTCCTCTTTCATTTTTTTTTTGTTTTTCTTAAAACACTTCCCCTTTCTATTAAAAAATTACTTTTATCCCTACTTTTTCATACCCTACCTATCACATCATACTTTTTCACTAACAACTAAACTATCACATCTTACTTTTACCCATCACATCAAGGGCAAAATTGGAAAGTCAACTACAATTTAACACTTCCTTATTTTGCCCCAAAGTCAAAAAAAGAACTCTTTTGAGAAACGGAGGTAGTGCATGACATACTCTTTAGCTTCTTCTTCTTTTATTTTTTTTTAAATTTTAAATGGAGTAGTAAAATAATAATAATTAAGTTGCTGTTTTGTAGTACCTTTGATGTCAGTGGTTGGGCATATATATATATATATATATGTGTGTGTGTGTACTAGCTAGATATATTTGGTCATGTTCGTAGGTGGCTGAGATTTTCCGGTTTTGGAGCTGTGTTTTTTCCCAGAAGAGAAAATGAGTGGCTGGGCGGAACTAGTTAGGTTGTCTGGTTCGATTTCTGCAATCTTGTTGCTTTAAGACAAGAAAAGAAAAGAAGAGGGTACTGTATTATAGTACTTGTAGTTTAAAGTTTTAACCTAACTCCATGCACTTGCTTATTTAGTACGGAGTATTGTTAGATCAATTGGCACTCTTTTAACATGTTGACCGTCTTACTATTACAATATTCCCTCCGTCCTAAAATTAATTTAATTTTAGTAATTTTTACCATTCAAGTATTCAATATTGTCATTGTTGTTTGATGGGGTTGAATAATCATGTTTAATCTTAGTTTTGGCATTGTCAAACAAAGAGTACGTCCCAACCAAGTTGAATCTCCGCACTCACCATTGCCTAGGCGGCGCCTAGCCCCAGGGCATGTCGAAGGGAGGGCCAAGCAGCCCTACCGGGCTCGACTAATTTTTTTCGAGAGTCTAAAATTTTTAATTTTTTTGAGTATATATTTAAGTTTCTCCGTCCGAGTGTCTTTCTCCATATTTAACTTTTTGCACTCAATCAAAATCAACCATAACAAACTCAAATATACTCCGTGTCAAGTTTATACAAAAAAAATTACTTCCTTTATGTCACAATAGATGCATCTATTCACTATTTAAAAGTCACGATAGTTTTCATTCATATGTGTTTTTTCATTTTTTATTTGATCAAATAAAACATAATTGTCCTCTCTAAGCTTGTACGTTTTGCAAAACTTTTGACGTATGTACTTTGTTAAATACTCCGTACGTAAGTTATTATTTTTATTTTTGTACCAACTTATAAATAAAATGAACTGAAAACACAAGATTATATTTTTTACGGATTTTGTGGGACGGGAGAATTTTTTTGTTGTATCTAAATTCTAGCTCAGAAAAATACATTTATGTTACATAACTACTTTATATATAACCATCAACAAAGTGCAGTAATTGAATCAGTTAGATCTTCAGTGACCAAAGTAGCATTACGTTCAAAGTATTTTTTCTGTTTATTACTTATTTTTTATTATAACGAGATCATATCAGACAAGACCAGACAAATTAAACCAAATTAGATCAAGAATATCTTTAATTATAACGGCAATCAGATAAGATCAGACCCAATCAGACCAGATCAGACCAAATTAGATAAGATCTTCAAAAAATCATATCAGATCAGGAGAACGGAACGCAGCCTAAGTTGCAAACACCATTAACTCACTCTCCTTGTTCAGTGCTATATAGAAATCCTGGAATGATGTTATTTGGCGCCAACTCTCTCCTTCCGCTGCCCTCTACATGGCACTCGGTATGGTACCTCTACTCCGATTGGTTGAAATCTCTGTCACTGGCATCCCTAATCCGCCACTTAAACGTCGTTCATGGACAAAGCCTCTAAAGGGATGGAATAAGCTTAATGTCAATGCCTCTGTGGGTTCCGGTGATGATCAGATTGGATTTGGTTGGATTGTCCGGGACTCGACCGGTTCTTTTTGTGCGGCCAAAAATCTTCACATGCCGGGCTTCTACTCACCCAAATAAGGGAGAAAGATCAAAGTAGAACTAAAACATTGAAAATATACCAAAAAAGGATTTCCATGTTTTTATTCCCGAAATAAGACTTACATTACCAAACATGGTCATATACATTACAAAAAAAGTATAGTAATGTGCACATGTACACTGGCACATTACCACAGTGCAAAGTCACATTACCACAGTGCAAAGTCCTATTCCGGGAAAAAACATGTAAGTCCTATTTTAGTATTTTTCTCTATGTTTTAGTCCTATTTATGGTGATTTCTACCCAAAGAAGCAGAAGCAATTGCTATCAAGGAAGCTCTTAGTTGAGCATTAACTTCTCTCAGTATAATTTTAATAGAAGCTAAATGCTAAAGACTAACCGTCATTATTTAATTGTAATTAAAAGGCCAAAATTTGACAAATACTTTAGTACCAAGGTTAATCTTTGATGTATAGTTTCAATTTAAATTGTATTAAGAAAAAATATACTCACTCTATTTTTATGAAAAAATAGAAATTTGACACACACTTTAGGATAGAGTGAATATTTATAATAAAATTAGACTAATAAAAATAGGAGTAACTTATTACTATTTAAAAATTGGACTAATAAAAATAAGAGTAAGTTATTATCATTAAAAAAGGACCTACATGAATTATAGCTTAATTATATTAAAAAAGAGGATTTCTCATACGTATTTATAATGACAAATGTAACAAAATTACATGGACTAACGATAAAATTAACGGAAGCACCAACTGTGTAATGTTATCGTAATTGAAAGACTAATCATTGACTTTTTAAAGTTGAATGACTAAACGTGCATAATCAATTAATGAAAGGCTAACGATGTAATTTAGCCCCACATATAACAACAAATTTCATGTTTAGTGATAGAGAAAAATAAAAAAAGTGAAAGACAAGAAAATGATAAGATAAAATATAACACAAAAACTTAATATCAAATTTCGTTTAAGCGTGTTAGGTAGCGTTCCGTTCAACTTACTTTTTTTGCTTATAATTTATTCTTATTAAAATCAGATCAGACCAGATCAAATCAGACCTAGACAGATTAGATAAGATCAGATCCAGTCAGATCAGATCAGACCATAACTAAAAAAATTAATATTATTTAGTATTATTATTATTATTATTATTATTACTATTACCATTATAATTAGTATTATTATTATTACTATTACTATTACTGTTATTATTACTGTTATTTTTATTTTTATTATTATTATTATTACTATTAATAATATTATTATTATTATTGTTACTATTATTATTAGTATTACTATAATTATTATATTTACTATTATTATTACTACTACTATTATTATTACTATTATTAGTATTATTATTATTAGTTTTGTTATTATTATTACTATTACTATTACTATTACAATTACTATGACTATTATTATTATGACTATAATTTTTATTATTATTTTTATTATAATTATCACTATTATTATTATTATTACTACTAATATTATTATTATTATTATTATTATTATTATTATTAGGATTACTATTATAATGATTACTATAATTATTATTACTATTATTATAATATTTCTATTATTATTATTATTATAGTTAGTATTATTATTACTATTATTATTATTATTACTATTATTATTACTATTATTATTATTATTATTATTATTATTATTATTACTCCTACTACTATTATTATTTCTATTATTATTATTATTACTTTTATTATCAATATTTCTTTTATTATTATTATTATTCTTATTACTATTATAATAAAAATTTTAATTTTAATACTAATTTCAATCTAATTCATATAATTTCAGACCAGATCATATCAGATCAGGTCCAATCAGATCAAATCCAATCAAACTAGATTAGATCAAAACTTTAAAAACTCAGATGATATCAAATTAGATTGTTTGAGGCGAATAGAAATCATCCTAAATAGGACTAAAACATAGAGAAAAGTACCAAAATATGACTTTCATGTTTTTTTTTCCGAAATAGAACTTTGCACTGTGGTAATGTGACTTTGTCTTGTTGTAATATGGCAGTGTACACGTGCAAATTACTATACTTTTTTGGTAATGTATATGATCATGTATGATAATGTAAGTCTTATTTCAAGAATAAAAACATGGAAATCCTATTTTAATATATTTTCAATGTTTTAGTCCGATTTTTGGTTATTTGGGGCTAATTGAACGCAGCTTAATTGACGAGAAGACTTTACTTGACTGTCCTTTTGGAAAGCTTAATGCCCCTCCTCTCTCTCTCACTCTCAAGTACACACTAGGTGACACTACCGGCCATGGCAGCAGCAGCGGGGGCACACATGACACAACAAGTTAAAGAAGCAAGCTAAGCTAAGCTCACAGCTCTGTCACAAGGTGATACTCCTCATACAAGGGAACAACCTCAAACCTCTCCTTTAATGGCAATTTCAGACTCCATTCATCACTCCCTCCTCCTCCTACTCCTCATCTTCCTCCCCATCTCCCAATCCCTAAGTCTCCACCCACTTCCAGGTCAAAGAAAAAACCCCAAAACCTCTGCTTCCCGTTGGTTTTTGTTCATAAAGTTTCAATCTTTTTTGTTGGTTTTTGTTGCAGAGTTCAAGAAGTTTCAAGTTCAAGAAGAAAATGAGCCGCGCGTGGGTGTCAACATAGGCACAGATGTTTCCAATTTCATGTCCCCCTCCGATTTGGTGTCTTTCCTGCAACTGCAGAAGATCCGACACGTAAGGCTTTACGACGCCGACCCTGAGATTCTCAAGGCCCTCTCCCGGACCAAGATTAGGGTTATTGTCAGTGTCCCCAACAACCAGCTTCTCGCCATAGGCTCCTCCAACTCCACCGCTTCTTCTTGGGTTGCCCGCAACGTCGCCGCCTATTACCCACAAACCCTAATCACCGCCATCGCCGTCGGAGATGAGGTCCTCACCACCGTCCCCTCCTCCGCCCCTCTGCTGATTCCTGCAATCGAGTCCCTCTATGCCGCCCTGGTTTCGTCCGGGTTGCATACCCAGATCAAGATTTCCACCCCTTGTTCCGCTTCCATTGTTTTAGACCCGTTCCCACCTTCGCAGGCATTTTTCAATGAGTCCCTGGCCTCTGTTATCTCTCCATTGCTGCAGTTCCTGTCTAGGACCCAGTCTCCTCTGATGATGAATCTGTACCCTTACTATGTGTTTATGCAGAACAAAGGGGTTGTCCTTCTGGAAGACTCCCTCTTCAAGCCCCTAAGCCCTTCCAAGGAAATGGTGGATCCCAACACTTTGCTTCACTACACCAATGTGTTTGATGCTATGATTGATTCTGTTTATTACTCCATGAGGAATCTGAATGTCACAGATGTGGTGGTTCTTGTCACTGAGACTGGGTGGCCTTCAAAAGGGGACTCTAAGGAGCCCTTTGCCACTCCTGACAACGCCGACACTTACAATTCGAATTTGATCAAGCACGTTCTTGATCGCATTGGGACACCTCTCCATCCGGAAGTCACTTCAGATGTGTATATATACGAGCTGTTCAATGAGGACTTGCGGGCCCCTCCGGTTTCCGAGGCGAATTGGGGTTTGTTTCATGGGAATTCGTCGCCGGTCTACTTGCTTCACGTGTCTGGAAGTGGCGAATTCTTGGCTAATGATACCACAAACCAAACGTATTGCGTGGCAATGGATGGGGTTGATAGATGGACCTTGCAGGCTGCTTTGGATTGGGCTTGTGGGCCTGGGAGGGCTAACTGCTCGGAGATCCAGCCCGGGGAGAGCTGTTTTAAGCCGAATAGGGTCAAGAACCACGCTTCGTACGCGTTTAATAGCTATTACCAGAAAGGGGGAAAGAATGCTGGTTCTTGTGATTTCAAGGGAGCAGCCACTGTTACCACCACTGATCCAAGTAAACTCCACATACCAATATGCACTACTCCAACAAAATGTTACATTTCATCAAATAAGGCTAGTTTATCATGTTATACATTATAATTTTAGTTAAACCAAGTAAATTTTTTATTTTATTTTAAAAATATCAGCTTGGTTTCTTGCCCTCTCCATACCCTACTTCCTAGAGGGGTATACTGGGAATGTTTGGTTTGGTTTAGCATATAGTCATGTGTAGTTTTCATTCAAACATAAACAATGAAACCTTAAACAAAAAAACTTGATGGGGTTTTTATAAATGTACAATTCCACGGCACAATTATGCGCATAGCTTACCTCTATGGGTAAAGGTTAAAAAGGCCATTTCCTAGATGTAGAGTTCCACGGTATGCGCTACAAATGTTTTCAATCCATGTTGGACACCGCTTGCTCTGTTTCTTTACTTCACAAGATTTTGAGGTTTCTTCTGAATTGTCTGTTTTTTTTCTTTCCGGATGTGTGCAAATATATTGCAGGTTATGGGAGTTGTGTGTTTCCTGGAAGGTGAGCAAAGTTTCAACTCTTTGATGTTGTTCTTGTTGTCCTTTGTTTCTCCTCATGGTTATCATTTTCTTGGGTATACATTGGCCAAATATAATCGTTATATGCGTTTAGTCTTGTTTTTGTAGTGTGTTGTGTTTGATTGGAATCTTCTACTTTTGCTTGCTGGACTTTCATTTCATTGTACTTGGTGCTTTATCCTGTTATACTGTTATATCCTGTTACCCTGTTATATTGTGTTTCCTACCATATTTTTGTGCAGGTTGAGCCGAGGGTCTCTTGGAAACAGCCTCCCTACTTCCGAGTAGGGGCAAGGTCTGCGTACACACACCCTCCCCAGACCCTACTGTAGTGGGATTCAACTGGGTTGTTGTTGTTGTTGTATGCGTTTAGTATTTCTGCTCTGTTACTTACATTAGGGGTTGTTTGGTTGGAGGATTTTGGAGGTTTGATTTTTCTTTTGCTAATTTACTCTCGATTTTTAGCCTTTTAAGTAAGTGATCACTTTTTCTCCAAGGGTCTAAATGCAACTATATAATTAGTATTTCTATCCCCTCCCATTTGATGTCCTCCAACTAAAAACCAAAGTAGAGACCAAATTCTTATCACACACAATGCATGTACCATTATATAATCACCACTTTGAACAATATTTTAGTTCGGGTTATGCTACAGATACATTACGGATGACACCAAGGTTGACAGTGTCAGTGTCACATAGACAATGATTGTGTGTTTGGTGTTGTCAACCTTGGGAATAAAGTAGCATTACACTTTAGTTTCATTTAAATCCTTTCCCCTTTGTGCTAAGTCATTGAATTTTTATGTTTGCAGTAAGAGTGAAAGCAAAAGCAGAACACATGTGAAAGTGAACTCAAGCGACACAAGTGGTGCATGTACAATAAAGTTCGCCCAAACAAATGCATATAACTTCATGCTCGTTTTCTGGAGCGCCGTCTTCTGTTCTATTTGTTATTCGTTTCACCCGTGACAAAAAAAAAAAATCGGTCAGTTACAAAGCTTCTTCTTTAGATTTACACTTCATTTAAACTCCACTTATAATGATGCCACAAATGGTTTGCAGATAAATGTTGCGTTTCGTACGTTTATTCTTTTTGAAGAGGCCATTCTTGAAAATGTTGTATTTAAAGAAATTCTTGGAAGCACCGAAGACGACGAAGACAATAAGGAAGAAGAGAGGTTGAGAACAAAGTTGGGTGTTTTTGTTGTGCAAGGGAAGTTGAGATTTGAATAAAGTGCCATCATTTTGGAAGTGAGGCTGCTCTTTTAACTGTATATCTGTTGTAAAAAAAATTCAAATTTAACTAATTTATGATATTTTTTGTTAGTTCTTTTGATTTTGCACGGAATTTAGAAAAAGAATATTGTGTTTGAAATTTATTTAGAAATATTAATTCATGATAATGTGTAGTTCTACCATACAACAATAGCCTGGTAGGTACATTAATGCCCTTCAACCATATTTCAGAGTAATTAGAATTGAATTGTTCATCAAATAAAATTTATGTGCTCAGCAACAACAATGAGTTTTGGATATAATGTCTATCACTCTATCACTTATTTATGGACTGGTTTTATGGAGTAGGGTAGTGTGCCCTAAAATGAGCTACACCTTAAAATGAGTTCCATAATATTGTCATTGGTTTAGTAACTTATGCATCAAAAAATTAAAAATGAGTTCCAAGCCTACTAACTATTGTTGGGGTGAAGATTGAATAGTTAAGTATCAAAATGGTGATTTCATCAAAATGTTACATTCAAATAGTTGTTCCATATAGTTTTATCTCATATACATGGTCAAAAATAATAAGGTTATTTTGGTTCTATGTTTCTCCTTTTAGCTTATTCTCCCTAATTTGGATGAACAGAGAAAATAGGAAGAAAGAAATTTAAAAAAAAAAAGAGAATTGAAGCAAAGAGAAAATGCAAAAAAAAGGAAAAAAATGATTATCGTTTGGATGAGTAAGATATACTCGTATTTTATCGAGTCTCAACATGTTTTTTCTCTCCATATTAATTCACATCCAAACAAAAAAACTTGATTGAGATTTGTGTTTTTTCTTCTTCTTCTATTTTCTTGTTTTTTCTCAAGGGGGAGGGTGCCCCACAATGATCAAACTTGTTAACCAAATTAGTCTAGAGGTTGACCAAAAACAGAAGCCGAAGAGCACCTAAAGGGCAAAGCGGCTAAAACTGAAAAAAGGGCATTTAAAATGGCAATGGCAATGGTCAAAATTAGGCCATTTCATCGTCTTCTTCCTCTCACGTCGTCATCATCGTCCTCCCGAAACCCTAGAAGCAAAACCTTCACAGTTCCCACCAACAGCAAAAAAATGTCATCTTGGGCGTGCTCGACCTGCACTTTCATAAACCCACCTTCCCAGAAATCCGCATGCGGAATATGCCTCTCCGCCGCACCCACACCGCCGCCGTCGCCGTCGAAGCCCGATTGGCCTTGCGTGGCTTGCACCTTCCTTAACCCGTTCCACACCCTCCGGTGCGAAGTTTGCGGGACCCGAGCTCCGGCCGCTTCGCTTTCAGCGCTCCTCGACACAGAAGACGACGACGACCCGCAATCCGTGGGCACCGTTTTCTTTCCCTTGAGATCTTGCAGTAATAGGGCCAAGAAATCTGGGGCATCCGACCCGGTTGAGGTAGTTGATGATGTAACCGCTGTATCCCCTCAGACGATTTACGGGTCGGGTCTGGATAATAATACCCATGGGTCCATGGCCGGGAAGAAAAAGAGGAAAAGTATGGAAGAAGAATTAGTGGCTGGGAATGATGGAATTGGCTTCAGTGATGTCAATGCAGGGAAAGATGTTATGAATGAATCACTGGGTAAGTTTGAATTCTCTTGCTTTAATTTTCAGTGGAATATTTGATTGAAAACTAAAAGTAATCTTTCCCATTCTGTGATCTTTCTGGTTTGTTTTCTCATAATGCACATACATTCATATGGATAAACCTGTAATAACAAAGCAGTGTAATAAATCAATTATGTTCCGCGGGTTATCATGAGTTGAGCTTTCTAAACGTTCCTTTTTGAAAAATATATGAAAAGATTTGATCTTGCTGGTGTATCTATCTCTATTATTAATACTCGAGGAAATGAGTTTCCATTTTGTTCATTTGTTTTCCCCTCCTTTGAAAGAGAAGCATGGGTTTGTTAGTTTCAGGTGACAGAGAAAAAGCATCTAGCAACACGAGCTTGGGCACGATGGGGGAATCGCGGATGTTGAAGATTTTGACATATAATGTTTGGTTTCGTGAAGATCTGGAGATGCATAAACGTATGGAAGCTATTGGAGAACTTGTTCAGTTGCATTCCCCACACATTATATGTTTTCAGGTACTCTGCGGTGAGGTTTGAATTTAAGCTTAAAGAACCAATTCAACCAAAAGCTCAAGCTTTTGGTTGACTTATTGGGAAAGATTTTACACTCTTTACACTTTCAGGCAGGAGAGTCATTAACGGTTGTAAATATGCAGGAGGTTACTCCCACAATTTATGACATCTTTCAGCGTGCTAGCTGGTGGAATGCTTATCGTTGTTCAGTGTCGAGTGATTTGGCATTTTCGAGGCCATACTTCTGTATGTTGGTAACTTCCTGCCCCATTTTTTTTTTCACTCAGAAGGTTATGATTGAACTTGTGCTGTGTTTGGTTCAGACTTGGTTAGTTTGAGCTGATGACTCAAAAACACTGAAAAACAAACTGCAGCTAACGAAACTGCCAGTGAAGAACTTCAGCTGCAAACCCTTTGGCAATTCTGCGATGGGAAGAGAACTTTGCGTTGCTGAGGTTGAAGTTGAGAAAGGGCTGCAGTTGGTGGTTGCGACCAGCCATCTCGAGAGCCCTTGCCCGGGCCCACCCAAGTGGGACCAGATGTTCAGCAAGGAGCGTGTGGCCCAAGCGGAGGAGTCCATAAGCCTCCTTCGCCAAAGCCCAAACGCTATACTTTGCGGGGACATGAATTGGGATGACAAACTGGATGGCCCATTCCCTCTACCGGAGGGATGGGCCGATGCGTGGGCCACCCTGAGGGGTGGAGAGGTGGGGTACACGTACGACACGAAGAAGAATGTGATGCTGAGTGGGAACAGGTCGCTGCAGAAGCGACTGGACAGATTCTTATGTGGCCTGCGCGACTTCAAGATGCATAAGATTGCGATGATTGGGCAGGAACCGATCCCGGGCTTGTTTTATGGTAAAGAAAAGAAAGTGAGGAATGAGGTTAAGAAGCTGAGCCTCCCTGTCCTGCCCAGTGATCATTTTGGTTTGCTTTTGGAGATTCTTACTCCCATTTAGTTTGACCTTTGACCTTGTTACCGGGATCTTATCTCCAAGTTTCAATTTGTGACATGTAGTTCAACGTGGGGAGATGTTAGACAATATGTATTTTAAGTAATTTAGTTCAGCTTGAAGGAGCGCCATCTCTCTACAACCAATCTCAAGGTGTACCTGGCAGCGTCACCCTGGGGTATCTCATAGTATCAAACAAACAAAATATGACAACATCTACATATATAATTTATAAATTAGTACAACAATAAAACAAGAACAACAAGGAACAAGGAAAAAGAACAAGTACAACTACATAAAAACACACTTTAAATAAGACTAAAATTGATATTACACTTTTCGATTAAATTCAATATCCCACTCTCAAATAATAATAATAAAGAAAATCAAGGACAATACAGTTTTGATTTTAATATCATATTCTCAATTAATTGACAAGTACAAAAGACAAATAAAGTTAAACTTTTACGGAGTAAAATTTAAGTAAAAAAAGTAGCTAAGTGAGTAAAATTTTAATATCTTTTCTTACTATAGTTAAAACTCTCTCATGTACTCCTTCCGTCCGGAAATGTTCTTCTCGTGTTGACTTGGCACGCTTATTAAGGAATAGTAAAAAAAATGCAAAATTTTCAAAAATGCACATACTATAAACTTTTAAATCTCCTTTTATTATTAAAAAAGTATTAAAAAAGTAGATTTATGATAAAATAGAAGGGTATTATTGATATTTAGCCTTAAAAAGCATACTAAAAAAGGAAATGGGAAGATTATTTCCGGACGGACCAAAAAGGAAAATGGGAAGAATATTTTCGGACGGAGGGAGTAATCTATATATATGCTGAGGTATCCTTCAATATTCAATAACATCAATTATTCTCAAATTGTGTCATGGTATCAGATCAAAAGTCTCCCAAACCCTAATTCTTTTTTTCCGACCGTGCTTTACCGCCGGTCCACGGATCGCCGCCGACAGTCGACCGCCGCTGCTCATGGCATCCCCGTCCGATCCCTTGGCTGCTCTACCTTGTAGAGTAAAATTTTTACTTCGCAGACTCCATAATTTGATTCCAGAAAAACTCACCGATATAAATTATCTGGCATGGTCTCTTAATGTACGGACAGCTCTTTTAAGAAACCAACGCATTTGATATATTACATTGATTATTATAGAAAATCGATGTAAATAACAAACCCTTTCGCATCGGTTCTTTACAATAATCAATGTAATAGATGAAATGATTCGATTATTTTAGGGAACCGCTGCAAAAGGGTCGCGTCTAATTTAACGCGAAGAATGTGGACCACATTTTTAACCTTTTTGCATTGGTATTTTCAACAACGCAAATAGAGCCGTCCATTTCCCCTTTTGTAGTAGTGCAAAGGGCGTAATGGCCAGTTTCTACTCCTAGCAAAAGCAAGTGTGTGATGATTTATGCTCTGCATAAATATCTTTTGCTATGACTAAAAATAGATCTCATTCCTTATTGCTCACTCGAAATCGGAACTTCATTTGCCTCTTTTTAGGTACACTGTCCGGGAGAGGTCTGAGGAGCCCTCGAGGCATGGGGAGTATATAATTACGTTTATCCGGTCAATATAAAGCATAATACTTTACATTATTTTTTTTGAATTAACAAATAAGTGATAGCAAAATAAAAAAATCTCATATGTATAAAACATACACATTAAAATTTATTTTTTCGCTCTTTCTATCCAATTTCTACCTTACATGATACTTCGTAATATTCATATTGCAAAATTATTAAAAATCAATAAAGTATTGAAATAAAAGAAATTCAATAATCAAAAATAAGATTTTTTATTTTTTACGAGTATTTTTTTGAAGAACAAAAAATTAAAAATGTTACATATTAAGGACCGTACTAGGCTTGGACCGGTCCTAACGGGACTAGCCGCTCCTAAAAATTTCCTATCATTTATGAAGACCGGACTAGTCTAAACCGATTTTTAAAAAAATCAGACGATCACATCCTAAATAGTA